CGGGTCCGACGAACTTCTGTGAACAGATTGGTGAATGAATGTAGCATGAGATGTTAGTATGAATCGGGGCATTTGGCCGGGCCAATGCATTTGTAAGTATGTTCACGCGTCAGATCAGACAAGTGGGTGGTTGCACGGTCGCGTACTTGACTGCCATTATTCAGTTAACAGGGTACGTGTTCTGTGCTCGAGCAGTGCACGGCCCACACATATTCCCAGTTAATCGATGTGCAATTTAATTTAGTTACATAGATTTGGTAAGTGATAAGTAATTACTTACAGCTTGTTCCACTATGGAAGACGATTAGATTATTTGGCTAAGTAAATGTAATACACAATAACAAAATTAAATACCAAAAAAATATATGTTACGTAGTGGTTATATACCAACCATAGAATAATTTTAATGTTTTATGCATTACAGTGTTGATTGTAAGTACATATTATTAATTATATAATGTCTACAGAAACTGTATGCTACAGAACTCGGTGTTCAGGCTTTGCCACTTTGCGCACTTATGCGAAAGTCGGTCCACAACACGCAGTTCGTCTCACTACTACGACTATATATTTTATCTTCTTACAGTTATTATCGCGCGCACAACATATACTTAGTAAAATAAGACTGTCTATCTACATTACATAAACATGTGTATTTCATAGTCTTTTAAATATACTCAATATAATAGACAGTGTAGTCGATAAATAGTCGATCTTAAGACACGCTCTCAGTTACGAATAGGTATCACATATGATCTGTATTGTGCATTTAGCAAATCGTCATTGTCTGAAACAGCAACAGATTCGGAACTTTCATTAATTCATAATCAAATTCTCTAAATGCAATCCAGAGCAACAAGATAGACAAGTTAACGTGAAAGTTCTTCAAGATTCATTAAAACGACGAAGAGTAATAGACTATAAAACAAAATTGAATAATCCTCTTTAGGAATGGCATGTATTTTTGAATTGTCCTTACAAGAAACTTATATTAAACAATAAACAAATATCTTAATCATAATATTCACTTGTAAACATTTAAATGTGAATTGAACCAGTATATCTGTTTTTGGGACATCACTTGTAGTTGCGGAGTATTTCCACTTGTCTTTCTTATTGCTCTAGATGGTAACACATTTAATCCGCTTTTTAATGAGGCGATTTGCAAATATTCATAAGCAATTTATTATCTTGATATATCTAAACTCTATGTTAAATTCTGACGATATATCTCAATCTAAACGCAAACTTTTCGGTTTTAGATTTCAATCGGTTGTTTAAATTGACAGAATATCCATATACAAGTCAATATTGTTGTACTTCGACCGGTTTCTCGCGTCATTCTGATTGTTCATTTAGCAACAATATTATATTGTTGTCAAATACTTGGCATGTGTTGTTTTTTTTATTACTTTTTCATATGCGAGCTATGTAGTTAAAATATGCATGTATTCGCTTTTTACGTATATCTACTTATAATTGTGTAGCTACACATATATATATTATTATCTTTAAGCCATAATATTCAATATTAATTAGTGTGTCATAAAATTTACATGATAAATCAAATTAAACACGTTTTTGCATTTGTGTTGTGTGATTAAAAGTGTTACATTACACTATAACAAATACAAAATTGTCTTTAAAGTGGTTTACCTGTAAACGCATGCAATTGCCGTTATATACCTACTGGTACATAGAGTAAGTTCTTTTTACTTTTTTTTCACTCGAGGGCCTAACTACAGTCGAGTGTATACCATATACCTGTCTTACCTCACCTTATACACTTAACTACTTACATATGACAACAACAACGTTGACTGATACTGTGTTTGAAAAACGAGATTTGAGCAATGCTAACTGACCTAAAATGGGGAAAATGAGTAATCTTTAAGTGTTTGTGGGAACGATATAACGTTATTGATATTATGTATGCCATATTTGTTATTTCTTAAGATGTCATGTATTATGAATACGTACGTAAGTACTACTAGTGCCCGTTGGTAAAAAACTAATTAATTCAATGTATAACGTATCCATAACTTTGCGAATTATTTGAAGTGAATAGTTATGTTTAATAATATTATAAGTTGTATACGCTACAAAAAATAGAAAGGAAAATAAACCATCTCTATATGTTACATTGTATGACATACAATCTAAAAGATTGGTAATATTTTATATTTACATTTAATTTGTTATTAAAGAGAATGTATGGATGCATCCATAATCCTAAACACTATATAGATACTTGGCAAAATTAATGTAGGGTATGAATTGTAAAGGATAGGATCGATTAAGTAAGTTCTTCAACGCTATTGTTGTATTATATGGCTATATTCCAAGAAAACAAGATTGTTTCCATTTACTCGGATAGTGGCATATATCAAGGGGATATGTGGTTGCTAATTAACCACTGCATAGTTTTACTATCAGTGGTTGATTTCGATGTGGATTTGATTATTATAAGGAGTGTAAAAGAATTGTTATGTAGGTTTAACATCCATCCCTTTGTCCGGCTACTTCCACTTTTGTAGGCGCCTAGACACGACCACTCGTGTTTAATTGGACATTTCATATCTTTCAATGTAACAACCTGCCCAACTACATATATGTATTTCTTGTAATACAATCGAATTATATGGTTGCACTACAATGTTGAGTCGATGTCTACAGTTGTTTTTGATGACTATGATAGAAGCTCTGATAGAAGAGAATAGTTCAAGAATGAAAAGAATTAGCCCATTATGACGAATTTTCCAGGAGTTCAACGCAATGGTTTGCATGGGGACTGCTTGGACCTCGACTTGACATAATACGGTGCAGGAAGTAAAGCCTAGTCTACCCCAAGGATCACTAGAGATGGGTCGACGTACTAAGTCCATATATAGTGAGGACTATCCTCACTATATATGGACTTTCTAACCATACAATTCTTCATGATTTTTTTTAAACGTCTGTGGTGTGTCTAGACGCTTTCAATTATAAGTTCAACATCCTAGTATATAATTGATTGTGGCCGGCTAAATTTTGTATAATTTTCATGTTACAATAGTCTTTTTCCTGTAGGTAGGTACCCACATCAATCTGTAGATTGTGCCCCAATTTAGCCACGGTTCCTTTAGTGCTTGTATTTTAATAGTATTAATAATGTTTCGATTTTATTACCTAATAATCGTATGTACCGCGCCTTCTTTCTACGATAAATTGTCAGAATATTTGTAATAAATGTTGCGTGTAGTGTCAATTGCGTTTTATTTAAACCGTCATTAGTTATTATACCCTTAATAAGTATTCTACAGTATGGACAGGACATGGCCCTTTAAAAGAGGTTTCTCGAAATAAAAATAATTAAATTTTATTAGGTACTTAGGTAATAAGGGAATATTCCATTACCGGATTCGAATTTTTCTAGAGTAGTTGTAAGGCCTTTATATGTAGAGATTATTAGGTACTTAATGGATTTATATTATTTTGCTTAATTCCGCTACAATTAGCATGTGTGAGATCATAAATATTAAGTGCGAAAAATTAATTATCCTTACGATCTTTTTCTAATGGTGAATTTCCAACAGAGTCTACCTAGTATTTTTTCTTTAATTAACACAGAGCCATCGAGTCGCAAGTTAAGCTGAGCTTGTGTTATTGATAAACAACTGATATAAATACATTGATACTTTTTATCAATGCACATATAATATACCTAATAGAAACACGCAGACCAATACAAATAATCATACTTCACACTCATGAATACAAATATTACCAGCGTGCGAGGAATCGAACCCGCGACCATTGGAAGTAAAGCAGTGTGCTAGATCACTAAACCACCGAAGCAGTTTCTAAAAAGCCGCCTTTCGCTATCAAAAATCCCGCCAATTCCGTCAGTTGTCAAATTTATTTCTTATTTTGTTTTGGCTTTGAGCACTAGGTTTATGAATGACTAGCTGTTATTTAAAAAAAAAATACTTGTAATGTCCGCTATGACAGACCGCCAGACAGACAGTCAGAGTTACTTTCGCATTTATAATATTAGAAAGGATATGATAAATTATATCTGAACTATTTTTTGCATAATTCTTCAATATGGCAATTACCTTTTTAAAAACTACCATGTTTTTTTGTAAAATTATAATTTAGGAATTTACTACATTAAAGTACATTCTTAAATTTGATAATTTTCTAATGGTTTTTGGTAATGCATGCAAGTAATGCTTTCCAAATCATTGTGGACAATACTACCGCTCAGTCAGCAATGTTGCCAACCAAGGTTTTTAAGCACAAATTTAGTTTCACCTAATCTAGAACACACCTTACTACAACAACAATCAAGTTGGATATGCATTTGAACCGAAGCATAAATTGGAGGAATCACATTAAGGCAAAAAGAGACTAACTTATCAATAAGTTGCTTCAAATGAACAGGCTAATCGGTAGACAATCCTCATTACTTCTTGAAAACTAAGTAATTATATACAAATGTATCATCAAACCAATATGGACTTATGGAATTGAACTATGGGGTTAAAATGAAGACGAACAAGCACACACTTGGATACCATGCCAACAAATTAGCCCTAGAGTTTCTAGATACATGTGGTGAAGTATTTCGACTGAAGAGAGAACGTCTGGCCAAAATATAAATACTCCTTATGTAGAATAAAAGGAATTCACGTCAAATGGGCGACATATCCGAAAACATTAATTTAAATAGGTATCTTAAATTCTGATTAGATCCATAAAATGGCAGATAGAAAAGAAAAAAGTTTTTTAAGTAAAATATATTTTTATGCACCTTTTTAAGAAAGTGTACACACACCACAGATAAAATAATATTACATAATATTGACACAATGTTTTACTATAATACTAAAACTGCTTTTATGTAACTTCTTTCTCAATAAACTTGGTGGTTTTTAGCTAAAAGTATACTTTTATTTTAGCTAAAAACTACCTACTAAGGTAGTTTTACACGACCATTGCTGGCAACACCTTAAATTAAAAAACTTTCATTCAACACTCAACATTAGATTCGATACTCATTTGCTACCCGCCCTTCTGTATTTCTGTAGTTTGTTGAATATTGAACAATCATAAGAAATGAATAGTTTAAATATGACGGTTAACGAGATTCTGCCGAACAAGATTACAAAACTCGACTACACATTGCGACCACCGGGCTACCAAAATTACGGTCAAAACTTCAGGTGAGACAGCACCTTTACAAATCATTTATTTATGTACAACCTTTACGGCACGTAGACACGTCAGTATATATTAAATAACATATATATGTTAATAAATAATGTTATTTTAAGTTTAAAAATAAGGTAGTTTTACCCGCTACACATACTCGGAGTTAAACTATTTAAGTTTAAACTATTCGAGATGCACTCGATTGGTGCTCAATTTTAAAGATCATTTAACGTAATTATTATGATTTTGTTGTTTATTATTCTATTTAACGTATATAACTGAAATCGTCAATTGTAATGTTCAACAAAGGTCCATCTTTGTGCTTGGATTTGCAACTTATAAACATTTTTTTATATTTATGAGCAACAAATATCAACACATTACCGTATTGCATAGCTTATATGATGGATATAACTTTGGAAAACACTGAAATTTAATTAGAAAGAAATAAACACGCACACACACATATATTATTTATTGTTATTGTTATGTATATTGTTGCCTAGCCTAAATTTTTCTAATTTTAGTCTAAATTGTAAACTGTCTGATTACTAATGATTACCCACAAGCCAAGTGTGGAGGCAGCATACTGTAACTCAGGTTTTCCTACCACAGGTTCTATTACATTATCTTATATTTTCTGTGTATTATACTATCTGTGCCCGCGGTATCACCTGCATGAAATTAATAGCTTGTATGTTATTCTGATATATAAGCAATATTACTGTAAAATTTCATCAAAATCCGTTCAGTAGTTTTTTGGTGAAAGAGTCCATAGTCAAAAACTTTCGTACTTATAATATTTACTGTTATACTTGTTGTAAAATTTGTGAATACTAATAATGCAATGGAATAAATAAATTTTAATATTATTATTTGTTTTAGTGAAAATGTACTTATAATTAGTCAAATCTACTGTCAGTTTTGAGATTAATCAAATAAGATTGTACATGATTACAAAAATATAAAGTAATATTTGAACAACCTCGGTGGTCTAGCAGTTTAGCACACCACCTTCTTTCCGATGATCACGGGACCAATTCCTCAAACTTTTACTCTTGTAAAGATCATTCACCATTGTCATATTTGTGTATTTCTAAAAGTACAATCCATGTTTATCCATCTTGCACATAATAGTTCGCAACTGAAATTGCTCAGTTTAGTTTACCATTCTGTTGTTCTAGTTCACTCTTTTCATAGTTTGTTCGCTTACAGTTGTATGCTTTTTCTATGTAGAAATGTGATTTCATTATATTGTTGCAATGGTAAGGTACCGAATCTTATCATAGAAAAGCATTTGATAATATTTCAATACTAGTGAACACAAAACTGTATTTTGGTATATACCAATCTTATTTCTCTATACTTATACTCTTTAATGGCAAGATATTTACCCCTTTTTAACCCACAGATAGTATAGTAATCTCATCTAAAGTCATATTTTATTGTGGAAGAATATCTTATTAATGTTTTTGCCATGATCATTGTCCTTATTGTAATTGACGGCTCAGTATAGAATTGAAAAGGACCAATGTAATGGGAACTGGATTTAGGTCGAAATGATTAACAAAAGAACAAAATTATTATAAACATATAGTGTTTTTATAGAATATCAAACATTATCTATACAATTACATTATTCATAATATACAAGGAACCTATGCATGGTTTCATCAACATCCTACTCCTTTTATTGTTATCATGTATTAGTTGTGACTATCCACTTGTTAAAATTTCCTTTTTTTTAAATTAGTATATTTTCCAAATTAGAGGAGAATCTGTAACCCTACATGATAAAAAAGATTCGTCAATGTAGATGAACACTGCATGTACATACATTGATTATTATTATTAAAAGTAACAAGTAAGTCTGATTATAATATCTAGTACATTTTTAATTTAGTCATAAATCCTAGAACCAATTTGGCAACACTGGATTTGCAAAATCAATACCAGTCTTTTCATCTAGTCTAACTACATTGTGGAGCCATTGCTACTACTCAAAAACTATCTGAAGACTTCTAGCTTGATATATTGTTTATTTGTCATAAAGACAAACCAGTGCCATGTGCTACAGGGGGCGTGATGTGCTGTTGTACGAACTATTCTTGAGGTGGTAGTCAGTTTCTTTGCCTTTGTCTGTTTTATAGATGTCCTATAATTTAAGATGTCGTAGTTTTAATAAAGTGTAACACCTTGTAAAAATTCCAGCAGAGTCTATCACTAAATCATTCCATCCTATATTTTTAATTATGACCAACTGCGGGATACTAGAACTGGGGCGGGGGTTACTTACTGAAATAGGTGTGTCCCAGTAGTAAACTTAGTATCGAGCAATCATAATTATTCTTCAAATAAAATGGTTTGCATGAATATTGTTAATGTTTAACATTTTGTCCTTTCTGCATGAAACAAAAGTATCAATTAGAGTCAATATGACAATATTTGTACATTACAACTTTTTACACATTCCTGCATGTTTATTGTGTCCTCAAAGTTGTTGTTTTTGGGAATGTCATGTTAATACTTACACTGTTTGTAAACATAGTTAAGGATACTGTGAGATGGACCTTCCTCAAGGATCAATCTTAGTTACGTTTGTCTTTTTAATTGTGTCATAAGTGACCTCCCTTATACATTAGTTAGCATAGTCCTTATTTCTCAATATTTGAATAATCACCACGAACTTTATTATCATTATATTATATGTGATATAATTTAAATAACACAAACTATCATATCCCACTACCCAATGGTCGCGGGTTCGATCCCTTGCACGGTGCAAACAGTCATATTTCCATATTCCCATATATATTTCCATCATCGATACAAAATAACATACTCCTATGATAATTTGTATTGATCTGGGTTTTTTCTAGTTGTATTATGTATGAATTTCCAAAAAAAGAAAATGTATAGAAGTATTTATTTTAGTGGTCTAGTCTAGTTCAATATATTAAATTATTAATACCAATTTAATAACATACATACACTGTTGAGATGTGAATATGAAATTTTGAGTTTAATCATGAACTCAGATTAACAATCAGTGTTAAAGAGAACATCAAGTTCTTTGGAATATTTTTGTACAGGGGCTAGATACGGATAGATAATCACAACACAATATTAGTTCTGCAAGCTTTGTTTTTAAATAGGTTGCAAGGACACCGCGGTATTATTGTGCGCTATATTAAAATCAATTTTATTTAGTAAGGAAGGGTAATCAATGCGACCATTCACTAACTTACATAGAAAAGTCATGTCAAGGTAAGATCTACGTAAAGACAGTTATTCAAAGAGAAAATGATTTGTCATTGTATGATTTAATATTGCTTGATATTTTAATTTACTACGAACTATTTCTTATGACATACTGATATGGTATGAATCCACTTTTATTAATATTAAAACTTTTGTTGTGTTTGATGTAATTACCTCATGACTTACTTCTAACTTAATACCTAATTTGTTTGTCTCATACAAAAGGCATCAAATAGAATTTTTATGGGAACTTATAGACGAGGCAACAATAAAAATCTATTAAATCACACATAACCACAACGTTTTGAATAGCTCGACATTTGAAGTGATGACTATTCTGATTCTACTGTACTGTACCATATAATTCTGTTTATAAGTCGTTAAGTAGCTTAGTATATTCTATAACAATGTATTTCTATATTATTCAATTTGTGATAATTTTGTTCAGTCGTTTATTTGGTGCTACTAAAACAGGGAAATTCCATCTATACTCATTGACGACCGCGGTGGTCGTCGAGGAAGTAGTCAGGTGGTGTTGTTTACTTCACATATTATAAAACTAAATACAAAAAATAAAAAATATATTAATTCTATCAATTATTTAGTATAGTGGCGAAGCTTGGGACTAGGTGGCGATGTGTGAAGTAGCCAGAGTTATTATTTTTATTGTTACTGAAAACTAAGCTTGAGTTCATTTGTAAAATATAAAAACTAACAACTTCAAGCATTGTTTATGTAAAATTATTTTTAATGTTAATTATACAATTTGTACTTTCCACTATTTAGAAGTAAATCTGGTTCAAGTTATTAAATCTGTTGTTTATGATAGTACTGAACAATTCGTGTTGTGTTGTGCCCTTTTAAAAGTATTTTTTTAAACTGCCTTATAATAGTAATAGATTTAGTCCTTCACACACCACCTGGAGGCACTGACTATACTCTTTGGTTAAGATAAACTGACTGTGATGTTGTCATATTTTGATTATTTTTTCACATTCACTATGATAATGAACTATATTTATTTATCAACAATGTCTTCTCAGTGTGAGCATAAACAAAGAAGCATATGTTTTTGTAAAATTGTATATATAAATATATATGCGTCCAAATTGCCCGAATCTATTATTATTAGAGCCCTTTACAATAAAAGATGTCCCTTAATATACGTTGTATATACTCACGTGGATTACTATTATCATTAATATTAAATAAATATTAAATAAATTCTTGTACTTATTTTGTATACACATACCTACATTGATTTTATTAGATATTATTGAAAATTATTAACGAGATAACCTGATTCTATTATTTATGTACGTATCTAGCCCGTTTTCAGTGATGTTTAGCTAGGAAATCTGAAACGAATCTGGCCACACTGTATGGGGAAAATCGATAACAGATTTTCAGTATCTAGTCTACTCCCTAGTGGTGCCATTACTGTTATTAAAATTGAAAATCTACCCAAAGACTTACTTCTAACTTGTTATTATAAAAACAAACCAGTGAGATGTGCTACAGAGGCCGTGATGTGCTATTATATGAACTCTTCTTGAGGTGATAGTCAGTTTCTTTGCCATTCTGGTTTAATTAAAGAATATTTTTAAATTAATTTTCTTAAATATTTTGTTCTACCATGGCACTCAAAGTCGTCTGATGATTATTAAGGAACTCCAAAGAGGAGATTAAAAAAAATTTACTTAAATTCAACTAACGGGTCATCAATAATAATCATCACTCGTAAGGGGGCTATGGGGGCATTGTATAAAAGGAGGTCGGAGGAGTGGCAAAATGTGTAAAAAGTAAAAAATAATGAAATGTGCACCACCCCCTAGGTGGGGTCCTAGATTTTGGGACATCACATTTTAATTGTAGTATTAAAACACGAAATATTATTTATTAGAGGAATCCGTTGGCGTTGGTCTGGGGTGTTAGTAAAAACGACTGAAATTGTAGTGAAGTAATTCATAGGTGCCCTGTAATGAAAGATTAGTTTATATGTATAGAGTAAACATTCTTTCTTTCTTATTGACAATTAAATTTAATGATAGGCTAAACTTTAAGGAAATATTTTATACTAATTTATAGTTTTTATTTACGTTATCCATGCTCGTCCTGTCATCCTAAAATAGTTTAGGACAGTATAACCTACACTGTACTAACAACGTACTAACCTCAGGTGGTTATACTGTTAGTATAGTTTGGTGCGTTATTCCTTTATGTCTAATAATATTTGGCTCATGTATAAAATTGGGCGTAGGTTGGGGCCTCGGGGCAAGACCCTTGCTCGGGCATCCACTTGCCGGGGCATCATTCCCTGGGGACAGAATTTACGCCCTACAGACAGCTAATTTACATAAAAGAAACATACCTAGACTATACGAGGGACATTTTAATATTTATAGCTTAAGCTTTTTTTGGGAAAATCTCTCTCGTCGTCAAATCGTGTGCCTCATGGATTCAGGATACAGGGATTGGACAGACGGGTACTGTGAGACGCCTAGTTACTAAAAATCACACAGCATTCCTTCTCGTCGGCATAATGCCGGAGTAGTAGGGTTGTGTTCGCAATCGACCGCGCCCTCAGTGGCGGTTGCCCCCAAGCAGGTCTCCTCAACGCGTGGAGGCAACTCTTCTCAGTTACCCCGGCTCCCTCTATAGTCGGGTAGACGCACCGGAATACAGGAATCAATACCATTTTGGGCTCGTGTTCGACGGCAGTGCAAGTCTGCCGTCTACACAGAGCCGCAGCCGCTCCCACGTATCTCTACAACAGGCAGAGTCACGGAAGGAGAGAACCCCGCGACGCTTGACGGCTGGGACGGACCCCTCTCGCACCCTTTTCCTTTCCTACGCCATCCCTCTCGTCGCGTCGGATTATTCGCAAATGAAGTTAAAATAAGCCGGAGGCAATAAGACATATTGCCCCGAGTGTACCAGCCCCAATTATTCCCTAGGCCCAGTCGTCCTCGAACGTATCCACGAAGATGAGCGATCCCCAAATGACTGTACCGCTCAAACTCTTATAGCTTAACCTAACTTATTTGTTTAGTTATTTATTATGTTTTACTATCGTTGTTTTATTTCTTCTTGTTGCTCATTTTGTTATTTTATGTATTGTTTTGTTTTTCTTTTATCTTCTCTTGTATTAATAATATTATATTTATAAAATTTATATGTTACAATAACGTAATCCAAATCTTACATCTAAGGAAATCATAAGTTTACAAATCCATTTCAACTCTGCTGAAGCGAGCGTAAACCACAGGCGCAAACGCTGAAGCATAAAGAGTACATAAAACGAATACTCAGTTTAAAAAAAAACCTAACTTAACAACTAGCTCTATTGGGATATGTATATTTTATTTATTTTTTAATTATTATAATATTTTTTTGTTTAATTATTATTTTTATTCTGTTTATATATTTATTATTATTTTTTCAAATATGGCAGTTACAGAAATATTTAAGCTCTTGCCCAATGAGACTCACATATGCGGAGTCTCATTCCTTAATTCAAAATAAGGTATTTAAGGGTTTAACCTCCACACGGTTCTCCCGTGGAGGTTAACTGGAAATCCAGATAAATTCCTAGTGAATTTGTCACAATAACTAACCTAACCTCATGCTCATTTTATCATCCTCCATTGTCGCCCCGTCAGCGTATGCTTGTAGCGCAGACGGACATCTATGACAAAAATGCTCCAAAGTGGTAGGGGAGGAAGGGGATTGTTAGAAATGTTTCAGTAACTTTCATGCCCTCTAATCATACTTTGAATAACCAAAGGCACCAAGCACCTTCAATCTCGCAATGCAAGACTTTTATGCCTGACGTAAGATTTACACAGGCTGTTAAGTCTCTTTTGTCCCTTGGCGTGTATCAATCATAAATGACATGTCAAAATAAATCGTGTGGATCCTTCAGTGTTCCTCCCATGGTGCCTAGGGCATGCGCACCTGAGTTGTCTCCGGTACTAAACACCTTTTCCGGTACTACTATTCCATTAGAACAGTTCAAAAACTGGAAGGCTGGTTTGGTTCACCTGATCATTAAAAAAGGCAATTAGATCTGGTTAAGTATAGGCGCATAACTTTATTCTCTATAGATTATATAATATAATTTTTACCTATTCTCTTTTTTATATATAGAAGTTACATAACTGTAAAGTTGACAAGATTTGATTAAAATAACAGGACAGTTTCGTGCTCATTGTACTGCAAACTGAATGAGTGGGAGTTTAAAAATGGCTATTAAATGTGTTTAGAATTATTTAACATTATTTATATAAACATGTTACTTACTCAAATGAAGATAATTTCAGTTCTATTCTAACATCAAATGCAAATGCTGATATTTCGATGAGATTCTGTACATATCAATTTAGCAATTTGAAAACTTATTTTGTATCGACTCGTTATTGTAAAAATATTGAATGTATGTGAAATTTATTTATAATTGTGAAGACGCCTACAGTTAACTACCACGACTATTGAAAGTGTAAGAAGTTATTACGTATGAAACTGTATGTGTAGCGTCCACAATAGAAGACAATACATTCTTTTGTTGATTTCAAATACATTTTTTTTCACATTGTATTGCAGTAATTTCTAGTATTATATAGGAACTTAAAATGGACTTGTTCGTATACAAGACTATTTTGCATAACGTGTTGTATCGAATTTGGAGTAAGAAAAAAGAAAAAATGCTCACACCAACTTGCTTATAAATAATATCGATATTTACGATTATATGCAAAATTACTTCGTAAGTAGCATTATGTACGTCAATATGGATAGTTATATCCCTAGAAGAAACAGAATCATGAGCGTGACTAATCAGTTATAAGTTAAGATTGATGTAGAACGATCTCAATTTCGCTATTACAAGCATTTGTAGTGCAGTGATTTTGTACGATTTTAATTTTAATCATTGATGGAATGAAATTGACTGGCAATGGCATACGTATTGGTTTCCAATGTAGACGTGACTTTCCTCAACTTATTGCATTGAACTGTTTGAACATCCTTGTGATGGTTTAAATTTATCGCGAAATTAATGGATTAATTTTCAAACGAATTGTCAAGTTCTATTGAAACACACACCAATACATAACTATTGCGATGTTCAATTGCTATATATAATTAAGGTGACTGGTTAAATGTATAACAATATCGGTCAAGGTCGATTTATTACATCATTGGACCTTTATTACCTGACATTTGTATTTTTTTTAGTGGATAGGTACACCTGCTTGCGCTGGTTTTTGCTGGCGGGATACCAGTGGAGAATAATAACTTTAAGCCTGGTCACTTAGCCTATCGTAACAAATTTAACAGGGATCTATCCAGTTTTCAATGGGAGGTCAAACTGACATGTTACAATGCTAGCAATGAGGTCATCAGTCCACATTACTGTGGACAAATATAAATTTATGATTAGTGTTAAAAATACATGTTAACAAGTCTTTGAAAACGTATGCTTACCTACAGTATTCTAACAATATGAACACCCAGACTGAATTGAATTTACTTATTTCATGCTATACAGGCTCATGCAGAATAATCTATCCAAACTCATTGACTGGATGGGGGAGCAGTCTGCGTCGGCGCAGGGTCTCAGCAACGTACTAACGTCGGCAGAGAAGCTCCGCAACTCTCCAACCCAAGTGCTGTACATGCTGAAGGATGAAAATGCCAAGAGGTTAGTTGATGTCTTCGTATTTAAACTTGACTCATTGCCAAGTTGTGTGATAAGTTGACATAACGACAAATTTTGATAAGTACATTCTACATAACAATAAGAATGCCTGCGATTTCACCTGCGTTAAATTTGAATATATAAATTTCAATAAAAAATATAGCCTATGTGTTATTCTGGTGCATAAACTATATTACTGTCTATATAATTATATATAGGTACTATATCTATATAATTTTATCCAGACGAGCCAAGTAGACTTAGATTTAGGTGTGGAATGTTGCGTGTACAATGTTCCGCGCGGCGGACTCCGCCAGTGAAAGGTGCACAAGTGAAGCGACCAGTCCGTCCTCTGTACAGATATTGGTGAAGTAGTACCCGGCTCGTAGCTCGTAGTTAATGATGATTGCCAAACACGATTTTGTGTTCTGTACGTCGACGTAATATAGAGTTTTGTATACCAAATTATTCAATAATAATGTATACTACTTGATTTTATTATAGCAAATTCGCCGTTTCCGCGTTTTCACCCACGTTAAATTTTAATATAAAAAAGCTTATTTCTTATTCTGATGCATAAGCTATATTACTATAGAGTTTCATCAAAATCCGTTTAGTAGTCGTTGCGTGAAAGAGTAACAAACATCCATACTTATAACTTACAAATTAATATTATTAAGATAATGAACTAATTAGGTAATCGATTTTTCATGCAAATGGTGACCTAAAAACAAACAAGAACACCTGTTAGTCAATGGGATTTTAATAAGATTCATCAAAAATAATGCATTAATTAATATAGATTTATTTATACAAAACAAGCTTTTACCCACGGTTTCGCTCGTGTTGAATCACAAAGTATATTTTTTTTTAATAAAACGTATTCTTTATTTATTCTAATACCTTCAAGAACATGTGTACAAAATTTCATGATGGTTTCAATAGTTTTTTCGTGAAAACGTAACAAATATTCCTACTTTCACATTTGTAGTATTATATATATATATATTTATATATATAAATATTAAGGATAATCGCGACATCCGGCCATGGGCACGCAATGCACGCGTCGCGTCCCTCGCTCGGTGCAATGCTCCCACCTGTTTACTATAATGTATGTCTGTTCGTGTCTATGCGAAACTGCTAGCGTCATATCAATTATGCATTTTATTGTAATAATATTGTAATGTATGTATGGGAACCCGTGCTTCCATGGAAGAATATAAATTATAATTTTTAAGTTACTTTTGTAAATATAATATTATATTTTTGACGGGCGCTAATTTTATTGAAATACATATATTGCAATATATTTTCGTTTCCGTATTTCTATTTTAAACAGTTTAGGGTACATTGCTTTTTTTTTTAATTCACGCGCAATTGCGCCAATCCAAATTCGGGAAAAGAGAGTTATATGTAAATATAAATTGAATTAATATATACTATACAAAGTAAAGTCTTTTACCAGGATATCCATGTGTGTCTACTGTATAAAAATAATTATTAATATCGAATTATTTCAGTAAGCTCGAGGTTAGTCCCTTCGTAGACTATGGCGTTTATTAATTGTCTCAACAGATCAGAGTATTATTACCGTGGTGACCAACAAGTGCGAGGCAGCCCATTATGAACTAACTGCATATAGTAATTATCCCTTTACACATCAGAGTATTATTGTCGTGGTGATCAGCAAGTGCGAGACAACCCATTGTAAACTAACTATATATAGTAATTGTCACTTTAACAGATCAGAGCATTATCGTCGTGATGATCAGCGAGTGCGAGACAACCGATTGTAAACTAACTGCATGTAGTAATTGTCCCTTTACACATCAGAGTATTATTGTCGTGGTGATCAGCGAGTGCGAGACTGCCCATTGTGAACTAACTAGATGTAGTAATTGTCCTTTTACACATCAGAGTATTATTGTCGTGGTGATCAGCGAGTGCGAGACTGCCCATTGTGAACTAACTAGATGTAGTAGTTGTCTGCTATACAGAGCGAACTATTATCGGCGATTTGGTCCTGCAAATACGAGACAGTCCCATTGTACAATACGGTAGTGCAGATGAAGACAAGAAAAATTATACGGCAAAGTATTATTGGCGAATAGTTGGCGAAAATGCGAGGTAGTTCCACTGTGGATTAGCGAACTATGTTCTACTCAATAGAGCGAGTATTATTAGTGAATTTCTGATGCAACTGCGTGACGGTCTCAATGTGGACTAAAAATCTCAATGTATTAATTGTTTATTAACTTTACAGTGGCAAGGGCGAAGTTGTTGGCATCCTAAAGGTGAGTCGCAAGCACCTGATCCTGTACGAGGAGCAGGACAAGGTGCTGGAAGTGGAGCCGCTCTGTGTGCTGGACTTTTTTGTTCTGCCAAGTCACCAGCGCCACGGCTGTGGTCGTCTACTTTTCGATAATATGTTGAAGGTATGTAAATACTAATTGAAAAGACATATGTAAACTCTAAACGAAATTATATAACGTGTAGAATTGACGATCTCAATTAAATTTTTATTTATACTACTTTGGTGGCAAACAAGCATATAGATCATTTGATGGTAAATGGTTAACATGGACGCCTGAAGCACCAGGGGTGATATGTGCGTTGCCGACTCTTAAGAAACCTTAAGACATCCAATCCAATAAACAATTGTGTTTAGTTTTACCTGTGTCAATTCACATTGCTATACACACAATATCAATCACTGTGTACAATTTATAGGAGTACGACTGCTCTCCGTTCGAGCTCGCCATCGACGGGCCTTCAAAGAATATGACGGATTTCCTGCGTAAGAATTACGGGATGGAAAACCTTCTGTTCCAATACAACAACTTCGCCGTCGCGCCGGATTTCTTCTCGCATATCAAGAAAGCTAGGTATGACAATGTTTTTTAATAGATTAGAAAATCTATTTGAATTTATTTGAATAAACTTAATTGAAGCAGTTGTTGGCTACCAAACTCCTTACATTCACAACAGATATAACACAAGTACATTTACTGAAAAGTATATTCACAAAATGTAAATTTTATTCTTTTACTAATTATTACTGATTTGGATAGTTGTTATACATATGTGATTATTATTTGTTATTTTTATTCTATAAATCAACACATAGTATAAAACAAAGTCGCTGTCGCTGTCGCTGTCTAAACGTCCCTATATATGCTTAAATCTTTAAAACTACGCAATAGATTATGAGGCGGTTTTTTTAATAGATAAGAGTTATTCAAGAGGAAGGTACACGAAGGACGAGGAAGGACGCACGCAGACGTTTTTATGCGAATTTATGTACTAAAGTAACTTTTTTTATTGGTACCTAATGTAACGTTCCTTAATAAAACTACTTAATAAACTAATTAAAATAAAAAAAATTGTTTCGTTAGTACATAAATTATTATGTATCCTACGTCATTACATGGTGATATCACAAAGAAAACGTGGTACTTGAAAATATGTTACAATTGTAATTAAAATGTAATAAAAGTAAATATTTGCACTACGTCTAAGGCCAGGGACTATGTATATTTACTATATAATACAATAATTTAAACTGACTATTCGGTACAGGCCTAACTCCAGTGAGAGCACTCCGGCGTCGACCCCCGCTGTCGGCAGGTACACGGCCCACAGGCCCCCGTCTGTCATTGCCAGTGTAAGCAACTTACCATTACAATTTATTTCACAAACTATATAGCCTTGCCTTTTGGAGGTGCGAGGACTCGAACTCGCGACTATAGGAAATAAAGCGACGTGTTAGAACAGTAAAAATGATTTTTGCTTTCTAATCTAATGTTTGTATTCGATTTTTTATACTATATTCGTAATTTGTAATTAAAAATTGTTCTTTTTTATTTTTACTTCGCCTTCTTCATAGTTCATGAAATAAATTTTCTTTTTGAGTATTTTTCTTGTATTGCTATTTACTTCGATATATTCTACAATATATACTAATATACAGATAAATCAATATATTAGATCAGACGGAAGAGTGTGAAACTTCGCACGCTTATAGTTATATTCTATATAAACTAAACTACTACGGAGAGACAAAATTTATTTTTTAATTATTCATAATAAGTGCATTATTACAATAAAAAAAACATTATCACATACGCGCATAGATATAGTCTTTGACAATAACCTTAATAATGCTCAAACTTATAATTTAAGTTAATTATGGACGAAATGCGACTTTTAGGCGATTGGTAATATTAAACTTGCACACAGTACACTGCATTATAATACTCTATTTGCAGGTGATCCACGGCGGATACAACGATAACGTCTACAACGGGTATGTATTCTAACGTGCTAAATACTACCAGCCTAAAACCTCCCCTCACTTTCCTTGAGGGCGCTTGTTCTACTCTCAGTTGCTTTACCCTTCGACATCATGCTCATTATCTATAAAATATAATTGTATCTGGTATCAGAATAATATGCATTAAGATATTAATAAAATAGTAACTGTTGTTGTGGTTGTCGATGGCTAACCATTGTGCACTCATTGGTTTTACACGTAAATAACACTTGCACCAAACAATACTTCTTATACAATACTTATTCTTACACAGATAAAGACGGCCTATTCGCTACAAGTAAGACTCGCTCAGACGACCTGGAGTATGCTTTTGTTTGGCTTATAATTTTGATATATTTTTTATTATTACTATCTTTTTTACTTCGCTTCTGTTTTGCACATTTATAAATATGATTTTATGTATTTTCTCGTCATTTCCATACTGGCCTCCGATAACCAATTTATTTTCTTTAGTTTTGTAACGTACTATTCTTTTTAATTTAGTTTTGTAAATCTCAATATTATATTGCAATGAAAATATTAAATTTACTAAACGCCAATAAGAAGTATACAAAACTATCAACAAGTATTAATAAAGTAGTAGTCGAAGATAAATATTGTTATTTATCTTAGACTGAAAACATGTGCCGACCCTAAATAATGGGATAGAGGCAAGGCAATGATGATCTTCACTAAACACAAAGATATTAATATCATAAAGTTCAGTAATTCAGTTTATTTCATTTAAAAAGCTCGACTTAGTAAAGTAATTTAGTAGAATTCGCAGTTCATATGAAATGTTCTCGATGCTTAATTCATAAAAATTTTTGCAAATCATAACCAAGACATTTGTACAAGTAAAAAATATATAAAAAGTACATAAACTGTTATACCGTGTAGTTAGTTAATTAGTTACAGTTTACAAGTCTTTTGTTTTATTTTCCGTTTTATAATTTCCTGGTTTCGTTTATGTTAAGCATTGATTTTGATTTGTTTTTTTTTTACTTTGGTTTCTTGCAGCTACGCGCGGCGAAAGAGACATTGAGGGAGCATCTGCCGCTGTCCTACGCTATCGTTAACACCAGTACTGACCGCTAACCACATGCCCATTATACACGCACACCACGACCACTATACATTAACTCTTTCACACCTGAATTATTTTTTTTTCATCCAACAGATTTGGTGAATTCCATATGTCTAAAGTATAAAAAACTAGGCTAAATCTAGTTATAAGAAACAAATGAATACCGATTGCATTAATTATTTTCAATCGAAAAGCTTGAGAGTTTAATACTTATTTTTTAAATTATATCTTATGTCTAAAATTGTGCACACAAGTTTTGAATGGGTTAATATATATTGCTTAATATGTGGGCCATATACCACAGTTCCAAGTGTGCAATATTCATTCAAATCCTATGTCTACGTTAAATGTATTCACACGCGTTTATGTCTGTATGAGAGGTGTCTCGATATATATGTTCATCATGTGGCGGTATGTGGTTTTTATGTAGTATTATTTATTGCAACATTACATCACTGTACTATAGAATAGGTTTGTGTGATCGTGAATCAAGATAGTGTATACTTACTATCAAAAAAGAAATATCGCCACGAAATATGCCGCGCACATTGGATTAATTTATTGATGACTAGCTGCGCCCGCGATTTCGCACGCGTTATATTTATAGCCTATATGTTATTCAGATGTATACGCTATATTACTGTAAAGTATCATCAAAAGCCGTTCAATAGTTTTTGCGTGAAAGAGTAACAAACATCCATCCATACTCACAAACTTTCGCGTTTATAATATTAATTAATAAGATTATCAGAATGTTTTTATATACAGTTACTTATTGTATATAGGTGAAGTCGTTACGCCTACACCTAATATCTCACTACAAGTTCTGTCGAACAGAGCATGCGAGTCGAGAGCGCTATACGTCGCGTCGTCTCTGTCTTTCTATTATCCCTATTTTCTATAGTAATAGACATAAGACATTATAACATTATCTGACTAAACATTACATGTCCCTCCGATCGATCCCCCTTCCAATTCAAACAGGGATCGAAATTACGGCGGCCGAGGTTTGAACCCCTACCGGTGCCCTCAGACTAAAGTCGTATCCGTCAGGTGGGAGTTGGCCGCTCCAAAAATCCTTCCGCAGATTTGGAGTGCCATCTGCACTCGCCCCATATCGTCCGGTGAAGCTGTAAAGGCCAGCTGCGGTCAACAGCATTAGAGTAGTCCAAGAAAAACAAAACAGTACATGTTTCGAGGATCGAAATAAAGATCATATATGATGTGACACACTGTTTTTATAAACAATATAGGAACATGGTGAAAAGACAATCAAAGGAAGACATGTTTCATCATAATGGTTACGGTGCTATTGTAATGTTGGATGAAATTATTATTAAAAAATTACTAACAATTTTTTATAACTATGTTTTCTAACTATTAATTGTATATTGTTTGTTGAGATGACACTAAATTATTATTTTTTATTTGAAACTAGTTGTTATATATTTATTCTAGGTTAGTAATCGTAAATAAATTTATTTTATTTTATAGTAATAAATACACTCCGGAATATTATTACTGGGCTAAACAGTATTATTTTTATTTCATTATTGTGAAGTATTGAATACTTTTCAATGAGATTATTGGCGGTGATTTTTTTTGCATTTACTAATATAATTATAAATTATAAACTGGTTATTAGGCACGCATAAGAAAATTATACAGAAAATAATTAGCTCATATCACTCGAATAACAAGACCTATTAAGTACAGTAAAGACAATATTGCCTGTGGCTGGCGCTCCCTATGGCATAATGTTGTGATCCTATATAATAACAGCAAAGCAAATGTATAAGAAATACACTGCTTGCTAAATCCTAAAATCATGTAATTAGATCTATTGTTGTTGTATTTAGTTAAAGTATAAAATTATTAATGTTATTTCAATACAAAAAAAAACGTTAAAAATAAAGCATCTTATATATTCGATATATAATATATCAAATTTATCAAATTGTTTATATTGAGCCTGTTAATTGTAACCCTGATTGTATGTTAGCGTTGTAACTATATTAAACTAGCAACTATTTGTTAAACCGTAATAGATTTGCAAATATAAAAAGCTGACATAAATTTAGTCATTTGTGTAAATGTCAAATGGACTTGTTTAATCTCATGTGAATTTATATATTGATTATATCCGTCCAGAAAATATAGATTATATTCTTTGTTTTATATTATTTGTATACTTGATAAAGGGTTCAGAACAAAAAACTCTAACTCCAAAAAATGTTTGAAGTTTGTTGCGTATATATAAGTAAAAAGTGTGACGCTACTATGAGAATAAATACTTTAAATTTTTGTCTTTATGAATCTCGACTTCCCTGTATTAATATTATACACTCTGCATATTAGCTTTTTACCCTATAATCACATTCCATACGATATTAGACTATGAAAATAACTAAAGTACATTAATCTCGCAGTATCGAATTTATAACTGTATAATACTGCGAGCAGCTATGGAACTTATGTTGCAGCAAGATGCAAGTAATTCCAAGGAACACGGTGTAAACAATAAAATCATCCAGGGTATCATTATTCAATTTTACGATATGTATCCGAATGTTTTTAGATGACGAAAATTAATACATTTAGTTTTTAAGCATTTAACATTATTATTAGTCGTAAACTTAAACCAATGCAGACGATGCTGAAAGCCACTTGTTCTAAAATCAGAGAGGTGTCATCAGTGTGTGTGTCATATGTATGTTTTATTGTATTAATATTGGTAGCATTAAACTTTAGTTAATATTATTAGTAGCAATATAATGTAACTCAAAGTATATTGTGGTTACCTTTAAATATGAGAACAGTTTAGACCGATAGAATTATATAGAATCAAGACATATTGTATTATTGTATATTATGTTGGTAATGTTTAAAAGAAAATAAATATGAAATTTCTAGCTCCGAGAACGGCATCCCGGTGGAGCAGGCCGAGTTCGCCATCGAAGAGTCGTCGCCCGTAGAACTGGCGGCCAAGCCCCAGCTGGAGCGTCCGCGCACTTTGCCAGTGCCAATTCCTCCCAAGCCTGCGCCTGCAGCCAGCGCGAACCGCGACTTGAGCCGGCCTGTGTCCCCGGACGGCTCGTCCGGTCGCCGCGACCCGCAGCTCACCGACCGCGGCTTTTTCGACGTCAAATTCTACCACAACAAGCTCTGGTAAACTGCAGACGCTTGAACTTCACGCGGTAGCAATATATTCGCTCCGCATACATTTAATTATTAACCGTATCATGTATTCAAGGTTTCTAAACGAAACCACACTTTCCGTTTAATTTATAATGAATGGAATTTACAACGGAAAGTCTAGTATTTAATCATAATCTTACTTATAAAAACTTAGTTATATAAGGATCGTGGCTCGATTATAACCGTGATCGATAGCGTCTTGTCTGTGTCGTAGTCGCGCTGAGACTTGCACACCTATTTTAATGTTAAATGTTCTTTAATATGTTTAAATCTAAAGTCTCGATTGACTATAAACATTCCTTTTATGAGTGCAAGAGTATTGGGCGTGAATGAGAATGCGGTCCACTTTACATCACTCAAACCAAATATTTATTTTGCGTTGATTAATTATATTGATTATTATATTTTTAATAAGTTTAACTCAATAGGAACAAAGTGACAATTATATCAACAATTACTGGTCTACTTATAACTTATTGTATTGGTCAACTTGACCTGTTCCTGACTAAAAGACCATACCAATGTCAGTTGAGTTATTGAGGCGGCCAGTTTCTTTGTATCCACTCAATTTCGTAATATTCTAATCATAAATTGCTTGTACTCGATTTTGTTGTTATGTTTCTTGGATGATTGTTTGATTATTATTTTTTATTTATAAATTATTGTTTCTTGCTGATGAAATAAATAATATTGTCGGTGTAGAATGTTGTTTTTATGAAATTACACTCCCTACATTACATTCCCGGGAGAGTTATATGGTGCCACTGCAGCGGACTTTTACCCATCACTGAATATAGTTGAGTTGCGTGCGAGCGGTAAATAATCAGGAGAAATCATTACCCAGATCATAAGTCATAAGCAGTCAATATTTGTTAGTAAAAACAAAGTAGATTTTATAAACCGTAAATATTAAATTAAAACTATATATTTCCTTGCAATTCATTAACAACACGGTTATTTTTTAAATATAATTCTCGAACCAAACTGAGTCTAAATAAGTTACACTTCGAGATATATGTTGTGAATCCCACTTTGCTTAATTTTATGTTATGCTTTATTATGCTTTATTTTGGTTACTGTGTAACCAAAATAAATATTAGGTATCTGCTAATTGAAATGTGATGTTATAAAATAATAGTATTTAAATTAAAAAATGTCTATTCCCATTTTCAATATTTATTTAAAACTTTGTAAAACTTAATTTTGTAATTGCAAAATAAATGTAGTTTGATAAAACCCTAAAATAATTTAAGATTAGACAATTTCGTATGGGGATCCATAAACCTACACCCGGGAACTGCACGGAGTTCCCCACTCTGCTACAAGATGAGCCGATTAATCCATGGAATGTTAAGAAATACAGGTGCAAGCTTTCCGCCTTTATTGATCCCTAACAGTAAACCCTAAACCTAAAACAATAGCTTGCCTTAGGCACATTAATAAAAAAACTCGTCTTCTGTAGCTGTTCCTGTGTTGAGGATATATTTTAATACGTCGTAGAATTTCTGCAGTATATATAGAATAGTAAATATATGAGCTGAGTACCTTTAAATACCCACCTTAGACTGTAAACCTTATAAATACTACTGCAAACCCATATATATTTTATAGCTATAATGTATAATTTGTCTAAAGCTATTGATTTTTTAACTTTATTAAAAAAATGTAGCAGTGAAGGTATAATACTACAATTCTAACCTATTTACAAAAAACTTAACCATATAACATGACAGAGCCCTTGATCAAATTCAACTGATGTAGGGTCCTACACAGGATTTTCGATATTCGACAAATTGAAACATATTCTGTTTTCAGAAATTTGTCCTTCTTGTTATGAGACCGCCTTCCGAATGAGCGGTAGATTAAAAAAATGTAATGACTATTCAAAAGTGTTAATTATTCTTAAGTAAATAAAAACAAAATTCATTAAATAATAGGACGAAGTAGGCGTAGAAGGTGAAAAATAAAAGTTAAATGCATCTTTCATAAAGAATTTTTTTATTTCCATTACAATTGGACATTTGTATGTATTCTTTGGAATCTATTACTTATAATATCGTCGAGGAAAACGAGGGTGGTGGTTCCGAGCTGGTGCTGAAGGGGAAACAGGATTGCCGGGGAGGAGCGAGACATGTGATGGCACAGAACATTAGTACCATACACAACTACGGGGCAGACGGAGAGCGCGTGCGCTTCTCCACTCCTGGGACGAGTCTACTTGTATATCTACTATCCGGTAGAGTAGAGGCCCTACCCTGCTTCGTGTCAGGCACACGCACTCAGCAGTGAAATCATGCATATACATTTCACAAGTACAGTCGGTCACGATTTAGTTAGAAATTTGTAACTGTGGTCAAAAATATGACTAATATGACTCGATAATATTTTATTGTATGAAAATTTCGATACCAACATATAGGCCGGCCTGTTACCTAATGCGTATACTACCTAATGAATGTTGATTTAGAACAAATCTATGTATATTTTTCTCACGGGGTCTGCGCGTCCATATGCCAGTTATTTCATACTCTAAATACACAACAAATTCTCTTCTAATTCTCATATAAGTTACTCCACTTATTAATCAGGTATAGCGACAGGAACAATTTGTGGGAAGACAGCTATATAAAGCATTAAGTACTTCTAAATATCTACTAGTGCATTAGTATGTAAATAACTTACAATTACTTAAAAACAAACATTACAATTGGCACCGACGTAGTATGCTGATTACAATGCGAGGGAGTGTGTACCTAACATTGTCATCTCCCTGCTCACCCCGTAAGAAATCTAACGCGAACATTGATTAAATTTTAAAATAATAGTATTAAAGTGTAGTCATATTGTTAATAAATTTAACAAAAGTAACCAAATGCAACTCGCGAAGTGGTTATAAAATATTAAAACATTGAAATGTAGGCAATGTACCATACAAGCAGACAAGTTATCTTAAGGCCCACGGAGTGGAGGAACGCTGCCCGCTCTGCACGACGGACATCTACAGATTAAATATTTATATATAATACCACTAACATATAGAAATGTATTATCAAACCAATGACTCGCTCTGAACGCAGGTCCAATTACAATTAACACATACTGTTACACGATATTCCGAGTGTGTAAGATCTGAAACTTGTTCAACAGCGCGGAAATTCTTTTTTCGAATGATTCTAATGCTGTTGGCTGCAGCTGACCTTTACAGCTTCAGCGATCGATAGAGAGCGAGTGCAGGTGGCACTCCAAACCCGCAGAAAGACTTATGGAGCGGCTGAAGGCCAACTCTTGCCTGGCTAATACGACTTGAGTCTGAGATCACCTTTATATAACACGAGAACGCCTACGCCTCCATATTCCATCCCGCTCCTGTCACCCTCTAATAAATTCGTCAAGTTGAGCATCGGCCGGTGGCGCAGGCGTCGTGTGTGCGTACCGCCTGCGTTCAGAGAGCGTCAGTTCGATGCACGTCCGGTTGGTACGTAGTAATGGTGCGAGAGGGGCGGGCGGGGGAGACTATACCATAATCCCCGCCCACAAGTATAAAATCCTTACAGTTATCACGGTTACTATTATAGATAATGTTCCATGATTGTATAATTTAATTAAAAGAACTTACGTATATATTTTATGCTTAAAACGAAATACATGTATCATTATAATAAAGACTAGCATACAATCAGTATTATACTTATAACTTCAATATAAATGTCACCTATTTGACCATTAGCGATCGTTATAATAGTAGATATATGTATAGATACAATTTATTAAAATACCCTAACATTTTTGATTAATACAAGTAAAGAGAAAATGAAAATATTGAGCATAATTGTTGATCGGAACAAACCAAACTTCGTTGCATACAATACACCATACGACCGAGTTGCGACCGTGCACGTTGTACACGCGATATAATCAATACCCTTCTGTATATAAATCCTTCGTATGTCGAACAGTGACACGACACGATGTGTGCACGTGCACACGTAGCGGCGCAAGCACGAGTGGAGTGCAGTGTATTGTAGTGTAGTGTAGTTGACTGTAATGCAGTGTAGTTTGTTTCGACCACATACTACAGTTTTATAAGCCGTATCACAGTACGCTAACTTAAACAATACGTTTGTCTCATGATATTTCACAAATAATATAATTAATACGTTTAATATCAACTATACAAGACCAAAAGACGCTTCAGTTGTGACGCATAACTACAATTATAGTAAATTTCACAGTAATATAAATAGGCCCACAACAAACCGATCGTTACTGACAGTCTTTAAATGCAAAGGCGGGCCGGGGCCCATAGCGCGCGTCGCTGGGGTCTGTCTGTCGGGGACCGAGGGTGCGGGGCCCGGGGGGAAGAGAGATAGAGAGAGAGATGGGGTGGGGGAAGAGACACGGACGTCATCAGTCCGAAGCTGAGGTCAATAAAAACATCATGATATTATGAATAAAGTTACTATCAGTCGAGGAAAATATAAATAAATCAATTATATTTACAGCCAAATAAATTAATGTTAACATGCCTTTTGAAAATGGGTAACAATTAAGTTTCTCGTCAGTATTCACAGATAGAAACTGTACCCTGAAATATAAGGTAGGCTGGAAAAGAACGATTGCTTAAAAATATTCTACACTAATAAATTATTATAAGTGGTCGTCCATTTAATGAGTATACAGCAGTGAGGTTTGAATTATGCAAACCACAGTGGTTCAACAACATCCACTCCAAAAATTCACTTATAAGTCTAAAATAATACTGTATGCTAATTCTATTAATTAACATGGACACATATTAATAGTCTTCATACATTTCAATACATGCCGCAGTTTTCGGCACGTACAATAAATACATTATGCACACAATAATATTATAGCTTAAAAATTAGGTAAATACAATATATGTTCATATTTCGTAGAGTAGTATTAAAATTAAAATTAAATTTAAGAAAGCTATATAAAAATTCAAGTAAAAATACTTGTTGTCAGTTTTTTTGCCGAATATTTTTTTATTGACAGTTAAAAGAGAGATTAGTTCTACCGCATGTTCTTTAAGTGTGAACGCCAATATTCTTAGGAACATGATATATATGTCTGTTTCTAAAATAGTATTTATAATTTTGTTCAAGATTTAAACATCTTAAAATTTCATCATTTCACGTATTTTTCTATTAAACGAATCAACGTTAAACTGTTTATATATATGACTTATATGTATACTATAAACCAAACGTTGACATGTCACAGACGTCGAGACATTAAATGGACACCAAATTGTAAATATTCTGTGCATATTAATTGTTGTGCAACAAACGGGTGCGGGAGGAACGGTACATACGAACGGTACGTAGGAGGCGACACGTGAGTACTCTACATACGTGTGTGTGTGGTGGGGCAGGGGCTTACGGGGCGGGCTCGTCGTCCTACCATTTCTGTCTAGCATTGTGGGAACACCATGCGTTGTCTCCCATGCGTCATTACTACCTCTTAATCAAATATTATTTGGCACTGAAATTAAATCATCTACACTATATCTAAAAATGATTGCGAAGACATTATTGTGATGAAGGTTACTGAAAAATATTGAAACTCTACGGCTGCGAGGTTACATACCCCAATACGGAAGAAGCACCTCAGTACCAGTTAAAAATTATTAATTATGATAAGAAATCTCACTTATCACTATATCACGTCAATTATACATACAGTATATGATTATGGATTTATATCCAATATTATATTTATAATGTTTCCATGCAAAATTCAATAAGCCGATCAAAAATCGAATACGGTGAAAAGTAAAAAAATATAAATTAATAAAATTGTAAACAAAAATCAATAAAAAATAAAAAATGGACATCAATGTAAAGAGCATATATACATCCAGTATAATAAATTAAAACAATAATTTAATAAAGTGATGAGAAAATTAATTATGCAAATATTTGACTTTAAAAAGACAAGAGGTTATCAATTAAACCAATTTTAGTTTACATTAGGTGGGGTTCTGTACTAGTTTAGTAACAATGTCTGCTATAGCAAACACGTGTTCCGTCACTGGTGGACCCTTCACCACGTCAATACCTAGTATTAGTAGGGAAAGGACCGACGCGGTCCTACATGCGTAATATACAGCGCAATCACTACATGACGGGCCCCATGGGTGGTCGCTTGTCGCTTCACTAGTCACAAACGAGCACAGTTGTGACAAGAAGGGAGGGAGGAAGCGGGACGGGAGCTCGACAGTGTCTGATCAGCGTCACTCGCTCGGCTTTCAAACCTACCTACCTAGAAACAAGCAATCACGCAATCTCCACGAGGAATATCATCTGTCAGTCTTTACACATAAGCAAGAGGAATAACGCGTCGGGCAGCGGGACGCCTTAACTACGCAATACACACACAATTATAATACTTGTACAAATAATATACGGATGCCAGATTGTACTCGCTGGTCGGTCACTGCGCGCGCGGCGTTATTACACCGTTTGTACTAAATCTGCAAGCCTGACGTCGACGTGACGTGACGGTCGAGGCCGATTAAACTTAACACTACACAGTAATTCCATGGCATACATGCAGGTGTACCGGGCTAGGCCGGTTTGCACGCTGCTGTATCCATACAGGAGCATAGATTTATTAACATACAAAGTCAGTCAAATTTATAATAAAATCCGAGAAAACTAGTCCAAATATGAGAATTTATAAAAATCAGTCTGCTGATGGCGCGGTTTGAACGGATAATTGTAAACTGTTTCGATATATCACTGAATTATTATAACTTATATTCATTATGATTAACTCTGAACAAGTTCTATTCCATTATAAATTATATCAGTTTAGCATTAAATTACGGTGTATACATGACTCATACGAATAACTTTAATAGAAAATATTTCGTGTTGCACGTCATAATCGACTATATTTTATTTATCGTGCAAATATTACGTTAAATTACACTGAAAGCCAAGTTTATCATTAAGCATCCTAATGAGACGATATAATATCAATTGCGTAATTGTAAACCAATCGAGTGAATATACGTATTCATATATATACACAGAGAATTGTAAAAAAAACATTTTAGCGAATTACTTGCAAAGTTCATAATTCTACCTATATGAATTAGATTTGAGAGCGTGCTAATTCCAAATACGGTCGCTTTTCAAATTCCGCAGACGATAAAAACGGTTTCATGCACGATCATTGGTCAAACCGTGGGCGTCCAACTACAATAAAGTGTAAAAAGCCCCATTGAGAAAATTCTATGATATATGTAAAATGCGGTGATTGTAATACAGTCAGTGTTGCCCCTGCAGCGGCGGCGGAGCGGTCATCATTAGAGATGGTGGTGGCGGCTACTACGTGGCGCTGGTATGACGTTCTCCTTCTTCACGACGTTTACCTATTGCAGAGAAAAATTACACACGTATATTATTCTGCATGGATAAGTTATTTTAATAAACGTTTTATTTAGTTGTCGAGATTTTAAAGGTAAGAAACACCTTTAAAATCTCGACAAGTTTAGAATTTATGTGATGTTCAAATAAATGAGTAAGAAATGTCTATCTTTTTATATAACAGGATTTTAAATATCATACGATATTTCTTTTCGAATTATCCAATTGCTTTAGGATTTTGATAAATTTTCTTATGATTAATGTACAATACATTAATTATAAGAAAGTTGATCAAAATCGGTCTGAAAAATGATCGTTACTAGCTTTTCTTGTAATAGATACGAAATGGTGGATGGCGGGGTGCGGGTGACGGATGGCGGATGTCGGGTGAAAAATGGCAGGTGGCGGGTGGCCTATGGCGGGTGATAGCGGATGGCGCGTTACGATTGGCCAATGGCGGGTGACAGATAGCGGAAGGCGGGTTGCGAATGGTGGATGATTGGTGGCGGATGGCGGGTGACGTATAGTGGGAGGCGGGTGGCGGGTGGCGTACCCGTCGACAACATCGGCGAGCTGCCTGAGCGCGAGCTCGACGCCGTCGGCGCGTTGCCGCTGCGAGGCGAGCGCACGTGCCTCAGCCTCGAGGCGGGCGGCGGCGGCTCGCAGTCGCACGCGGCGGTGCGGGGCGCAGCCACCATTGGCGGCCGCAGCCGCGCACCGCGACGCCAGCCGCGCCAGCCGCTCCGACGTGCGCAGCCGCCACACCGAACCCCGTCCGCCGCCGCCGCGACGCACCTGCCCACCGCCGCCATACGTGCACTCCACACATTTGCCAAAACGGAATTAAATCCACCCATCCCTTAAGCGGACGGTGACCGGTATCACCCACGACAACTACCATATTATATTACAATACTTATTTTAGAGACAAGATTTTGGCAACGAGTGAAGATTGAAAAACGGCTACTATTAGGTTTTTAGCATTAACAATCAAAACCTTCATAATAGAATCATATAAAAGTTACCAATACAATGGCAACAAGTTATAGAACAGCATGTAAAAGTGTGAAGAACTTCACTTAAAAATTCGATTTCTTTATTCATCGTCGACTGCTTTTATTACAACAAATTCAACATAATGGATACATATATGGTGTAACGAACCTTTTTTAGAAATTCTCAAGAAAAAAAAAATTCAATCATTCATCCTGATCTGATAAAAGAAACCCACAACTTATCTATATATATAGCACACAACTCAGCTGCTTAATCATTATATTAAACCCAATGTATGCTTCCATTTTTAGTGATTGTAAAAATTTCACATTCATTCAATATTCGTATCAAATAACAACAAACATGTATCCATACATCAATAGATACAAAGCAAAAGTGTCAAGTGAAGAAATAAAATATATAACAGAAGCCTAAGAAGAGACGGTGTGTGATCGTGGCCGGTCATACCTCATCGAAACAGCAGTGGAGTGCGGCGCGCACCGCCTCCAGTCCGTCCGAATCGTCCGCGTCCTCTCCGCCTCCGGACGGAGCACAGGCCGGCGAACCGGACGGCGTCGCGTAGATACCACCCCTACCCACCGGTTTGGTCTTCCAAATAATACAAGATTCAACTATTACACACCACACAATATAGGAATCCTCTTTACAGTTTTGTCACTCGACAAATCAACAACCGTACTCGCATACGTGGCGTTATACCCCATGAGCCAGGTCTGGTTGACCAATTTCTTCCCGTACTAAAATTTCTATATTTGTTAACATTGTTGTAATAAGAAACTTCCTGAAAGTCACCTGCGGATAAGAAGCAGCGCTCTCGCAAATGTCTACACCTTTGCGAGTTGACTCTCACTAAGCTTTATAATAGAACTTTCTTAACCATCACCAAAACAGGTTTTGGTCCGGGAAGAAATAATAGATATAATAAACACCTGTGGACTATAAGACACAATCATTCAAGAATATTAAAAACAATCCGAGACTGGACAAACATTAGCGAATCGAGCATGCGTTGCGGAGAGGTAACGTGCGATGAAAGGTGGTTTGGGGCGGTAAAGGGGCTTAAGGGGCCGTGATGGCGGTGTGGGGCAATGTGGGGTGGTGTTGGGCAATGTGGGGTGGTGTGAGACAATGAGGGTCGGTGAGAGGCGGGGAGAGTTACGTACCAGGGCCTTGAGTGGCGGCTTGCTGGGAACGGCGGGCCGGTCATCGCGACGGACGGCGCGGCCGGCACTACGCTCCTCTGGCGACGTGTCTTCACTATCCGGTTCCCTGCGAGCACGCAGCGAAGGACTCAGCCGCTCCTCCGTCTCCTTGTTCTCCCAAAGCTTCTTTAGACTGCTGATGCTGCCCGTGCTCCGTCTTTTGTCTTCCTCATCGCCGCCGCTCGTGTCCAGCGATCCACTCTCCGACCTCTTCCTTTCGCAATCTTCGCCTTTCCGCGAGTCGAATTCCTTCTCCTCGGGCGAACTCTGCTCTGGCTTCTTCGCGTTGCCATTAGTGGCCACTGATCCGCTGTCCACTTTTCGTAGTCGCGATTTGAAATCTATTATCGAACGTCCCGACTCTTCGGGTTCTTTACTGCAATTATTAATTTTCTTATTGGTATCTACCTTCTTCAATTGAGATTTAAAATCTGTATTAGTTTTAGGCTCCGTATCGCTTTTCTTTTGATCAATGTTATTATTATACATGGTCTTTCTGAGACTAGCTTTCAAGTCTATCGGCGATACCGTGTCTTTATTGTCCGTGGACTTAGTTCCATCCACTTTTCTATCGGACTTACGTAATGCGTCCATGTTTAAACTGGCCGATAATTCAGTGACGAGCCGCGCCGCGGGGTCACCGTACGAAGTATGCGTTTCTATTAGTTCGTGCGGTGGCGGAGAGTCTTTTAATTGTTTCTTTTTGTCGGCCCGCTCCTTAATTTCCGCGACTAATTTCAACTCTAGCATCTCCTTCATAGTTCGCTTAGCGAGCTTCTGTTCGGCATCGATTCCGGGCGACGGATCGTTTCCCTCGGCTTCGGTGCCGGCGTCCCGACAGCGATCCGGTGGCGGTGGTGGCGGCGGAGGCCGCGTGTCCTCTGGTGGGGGAGGCAAGTCTACCGGCGGAGGCGGAAATTCCAACTCGGCAAGTCGGGGCCGGGGTTTCGCCGGGCCGTCGAATGATCGCAGGGGAGCTGCACGGGTTGCACGGGGCGATGCTGGCGCCGGAGCCGTGACGCCACCGGAAGAGTTGGACCGGATCATATGCGGTTGAGCACGCGCCGTTCGTGGCGATAAAGACCGCGCTTCGTCCTGCGGTGGCTCACGTCGCACGGCACTGCTGCTGCTACTCGCGCCGCCGCCACCGCCGCTCTGCCGAAGTGACTCCAAAAATGCACCAATACGAGCTCCTTTCGGTAATGTGCCGTACCGATGAATAGCCCTTTTCACATTTTGCACTTCCAAAGCGGCCACTTGTACTTCCTGCTGTAATAATTTTTAAATATTTTAGTAGCAGTAGGCTATAATTTTAGCCGACTATAGATATAACTTTAGCACCATGAGCACATACATAGTGCTGCTCATAGTGTCTCATATACACATTGTGAAGGCTGGAGGCATTTATACTTTTATAACTTCGTCACTATATTTCATTATTTAAAATAGAATACAAAGAACGTTGCTTGCGGCAGGGTTAGATAAGATTTGGTATGAAATAAAACTATAAATTAATAATACATTTAGTCCTAAATTAGACAGAGATATAGGTAGGGTATAGATAATATAAAATTTACTAAAGCAGATTTTATAAAAAGCACGTTGGTAGAGGGAGATAAGGCAATTTACAGACAAGAATTAGGAATCGGAATAGTATATGGCGTATCATAGGCATAACATGGCAACGTGATATCCATAGTATTATTCATGTATATCGGCGGTTACCAATTACCATCACATCAAGCCGTTTGCTAATCAAAATGTATAAAACAAACACAACATAGTTGCCAAAAATAAATATGATGTTTTTATTGGTTTATTACAGACTGGGTTGTTATTTTAAAGTGCTTAAGATACCAAGAGGAAGATTCAGGTCACCCGGTTCTTGGTGGAACAATATTAAGAAGCCGATGGCCAGACAGAGGACAGAGTTACTACTCAGACAACCCAGAACAGAATTTTCTGGCGCAAATGTATCCGACTCTAGATATAATGGGAACATGGGTGTACATGTATTATATGTATAAACGTTCCTCTTGAATCACTCTAGCTATTAAAGAAAACCGCTTCAAATCCGTTGCGTAGGTTTAAAGATTTAAGCATACATAGAGACGGACAGACAGCGACAGCGACTTTGTTTTATAATATGTAGTGACATTTTGTCTGTTTTTGTATGGTCTTGTTTGGTGCTCAATAATGTAACATTATTAATTGATTTCCTTTCCGTAGGAGGTACCTTGGGTTGGAGGTCATGCGCTGCGGCGTGGTGCGGGTGCGGGTGCGCGTGGGGGCGGCGTCTGGCTCTCACGCGGAGGTCACCGCCGGCTGCAGACTCGTCTGTATCGGCGGCTGCCTCCGCCGGTGAGCCCTCGGATGAAGCCTCACGCCCGCCCCCGGCCCCGCGCGACCCCCCTGCGGTCATTGCACCCTCTATAATTTACCGTCAGTACCATAACATAGTATTCGCTCACATCATACCCATTTAATATAATACAGATTAATATTAACATATTCATGCACAGCGACAATATTTTGCTTGCAATATTGCCACAAATAGGTGTCACTCGACATAAATAGGAGGCAACAAATACGCGAGTATTGGAATTATTATTGTTAACCAAATATATTTGAGTTATAAACATTCATATTATTTTTAATACCGAGGAACTCTTAAACAGCTTTAGAATGGAATTCATAATAGCACGACACCCAGTAATTTCACAGTCATATTTAACTGAAAGTAACAAGGAAGATTCTTATTTGAAATACACAAGAGTGTGTACAAACATTCCCTTATGTAATCCAATAATAATCTGGTGAGTTGATATAAGATTTTATTTTAATATTGTTTCGCTTGCAGTAAATTTTTGATCTCTTAAAAAACCAAACTCTACAATGTCCCACGTTTTGTTAGTAGTTACATATATTATTCGACCGCTATATACCACAGCGGTGACCAATATATAAATACTACTTACATACATACATAAATTTCTTTTTAATAACACTTTTTGACACGATATACAATTTCAATTGCTATACTTTTTATTTTATACAGTAATTACGACGGTGCGAAAATCAAATAACTATAGAAGTAGATACAACGACACTACTATGTCTATGCAATTCATTCACTAATCTACACTACACATGAGTAAATACACGCTGTGAGCCCCGCTCAGAACAGTGTTTGAGCACAAGGTCAATAATATTCTACTAGTACACTGAGTGCAAATTTTCTCTGCTCAGGATTAGTGTTACATACATTACATTACATAAAATTTATTTAATATATGCTTAATATACTGAGATCTAAATATCCTATCCAGCTAGTTAGACAACAAATAACGTCAATGTGATTTAACACATAAAAAGTATTTCAACAATAACGTAGTAGTGAATACATTCTAGTTACGACACATTACCTACTCTCCGAATGCTCTTTGAACGTTAGCACGTTTACTAAGCCCGTCATAAAAATATTTTGGATTGTTTCACTTGGTGTAACTACGCCTTAAGTACGTGCCCATATCCTCAGATGCGCTGTACGTCTACGCAATATAATGTACACACATAGTTACTTTATAAGCATAGTACTTATATAAACAATAGATATATGCGATGTTACACATTGTATTTAGATAAGTACATACATAGACAGATAGATAGATAGGTAGGTAGATAGATAGACAGACAGATAGATAGATAGACAGATAGACATAAATGTAGCGGCAGAGGGCCGCTGCCTGTATATTTATATACTTACAAAATGTTCTTATCTATTGTTATACACCTGAGTGAGCGGACAAACAGACAAAAAACTAGTTGTAATCGACGCATTATATATTACACATATTTTAAAAATAGAAGGTATGAAAAATAAAGGTAAACATGGCGTTATAGTAAGTGAGTGAAACAAGGAATATTGTGTGTAAGCATTACGTAAAGGTGTATGCGAACAAAAGCAATACTATCACACCCACGAATACAATGCACTTGCAGTGGTTGCATGTTCAATTTTCTCTCAGTGTATTGTGGAGTTGTTAATGTACAGCGAGATATTATTCTCCGTGTATGTCTAAACAGATGCTAACAAACGGCAACGCAATATTACTACGCTCGTTTGTATATGAGATAATGCTTGAATTTATTATAAATTAAACTTGGACACATTTAAAAGAATTTAATTTAATTTTTAGTTAAAAAACCTATTGAAAATACTTCATCACGCTGTTTTAGGATGACTGGAAGAGATATACTTTGCTATCTAAAAATTCCAATAAAACATATATAAATCAAATGTATTACTAGTTCAATGCCAGTACTCCGCAACTGAAATAGATGGACATACAAAACGATACGGATAGTATATTTTTTTTTAACTGGCAAAAAATATCCTATATGAATAATGAATTTTGACTTTATGGAACTGCAGTGAGATCTAGCTGACAGCCACCTGGTGACAAGTGGCAGGCGTCCCCATATACAAGTATATCACGTCATCACGCGAACTTATGCGGTCATATCCATATCACCTAATGTCACACAAAACATAACTAACTAACCTTACTAATATATTTGATGACTTATATTATACGAATTAGAGACGTCTATATAAATATATATTTATTACTGTATATTTTTATTTTGCAATTTTTTTAATATAAAAGCTTGAATACTAAAAATTATAATCCATTTTTGTTAAACTCTGTCTATTCATTGCAGTCACCAATCAGCCTATTTTATAAACTATATGTTTCGATTGAAGGGTGAGGTAATAGATTGAAATTACACGACAAGAGGCATGACTTTTTAGTAATGCGGAATGAATGGGTGAGTGGTATCGCGTGCGTCATATAATAACGTGATGTAGTGCTATACCTAGTATATATGTAGACGACGTATTCTATTTATCATTTAAGGCTTGTTTGTCATTACAATAAAAATAAAAAATATGGCAGATACTAATTTGTTATTAATTTGAAGCCAATGAACTGTATACATACAGCATTCCGCTATTACCACTAATGTGTAGATTTAAACTGGGCACGAGTGTGTGTGTGTGTTTGTACAGGTGTGCGTGCGTGTGTATGCGTGTTTGCGTGCGTGTGTGCGTGCTTGTTATGTACCAACCGTTAAGTGAAGCCAGCGAGTCATCGTGGGGCGAGTGCTCCTCGGCTGCGTACTGCGACTCGCGGAACGAACTGCACGACGACAGCAGGCTGCGGGTCATATAACTACGTCACTGTCGGCTCATACATACACGCAACACGCGTGCCATTTCAGGTAATACTTGTATTTATAAGGCCACGGTATAAATTCAATCTTGTAGGCACTCTTGAATAAATATGGTAATTATACGTATTCATAATCGACTCTACAAATATATTACAAGGTGGTTGACAATTCATGGGTGCCAAATTGAATCCCCCTTAAGGTAAAAAACTGAGATAGCTCTAATTAGTTTTGTGAAACATGATATAAAAATATTTTTATTGGGGACCTATTGGAACAGTTGTCATGTAAAAAAAATTCTATCAGCAAGATTTAACAGGAATGTAGATTATAAGAAAGTATTTGTATTCGTCAAATATACTTGGACACTAAAAATTACAGCGCCAACTAATTTTTGTGTTTACGTTTAATTAATGTATGAGAACTGATAATATCGTTTGGAAGATTATTGTACACTTTAATTGCCATACAATATACTTTTCTTTCGTTTATGAAAATTTATCGGTGAAACAATATCAGGGTGGGTATCATAACGAGTGAGTGGTGAGCGACCTGGTTCGCTTGGGCGGGGTGGGCGCTTGCTTGCCGCGCCTGTTGGTCGGGCGCCGCATCTGCACGCCACCGCCCACAGCTACACCGCCCTTCTTCACCGAGAGCGGAGTCCCGGACCCGGAGCACCCGCCCTCTTGCAGTTGCTTCTCCACCTCTATAATAAACATTGTGATGGGGGACCATATTTAGCAGGTTATTTTCTTTTTATTGACTCGCAACCTCGTTTGCATCATACTTATTATTATATAGCGTCCAATTTACATTATATCTTTTTAAATTAAAAAATTATATCCTGTAAAAATTTAAGCCTTGTTTAAATTAAAGCCTGTGTTATTCTCATGTATAAGGTATGTTACTGTAAAGTCTCATTAAAATCCGTTCAGCAGTTTTTGTTGGAAAGTGTAAGAAACATCCATTTATACTCACAAACTTTCAAATTTATAATATTAGTAAGATTTTTTAAAATACATTGTGTATATACCCTCTGTGATGGAGTTGTCCTGGAACATGTGCTCGAGTGCGTGGTGAATATCGCGGAAGCTGGGCCGGTCGGCGGGGCTCCACTGCCAGCAGCCACGCATCAGCTCATACACCGGCCCCGGGCAGCCCGGCGGGCACTCCATGCGGTAGCCCTGCGCAGATGCAACAAACATGCCCGGTCAATATACACAAACAGACAACACGGCTGTTACATATTAGTCATCTACAATAATTGCCTACGCCCCAACCAAATACATAAACTACGATAATATCATATTAATTCTATTTTGGAATCATGAAAAAGTGACGTAAACATATATGCATATAACCTTCGATATTCACTAATTGTACATACTACACAAAACTTACTAAAAATATATTGAATTAAAATAATAAACTATATAGAATCCCTTATTGTTAATATAATAATATGAAGTAAAGTTAATTTATCAAGTTCAAAATGTAGCAGTATACACCGAACTAATCCGATCGCAGCGCAAAACTAGCAAATAGTTTCATGAAAATTTAAGCGGAACCCCATCTTTAAGCCGTACTATGCTAAAACTGATACCGAAAGTTCGATCGTACACCACAAATACAGCTACTTACTATATGCATATCAAACTAACAGCTAACGATCATGAACACCTCAAAATACACTTTCTACAATACTATAGAAATTAACATATAAATGTCAAGTTCCTTATCGAATTATGAATGAATATGATGCTCCTAATACGTCCATTGTATAAAGAAACACAGCGCGCGCACAGAGCAATGCCGATCGCAGTATCACTCCTCTACAAATCAACAACTGCGCCAGTAAGCTGTGCCATAGTCGCATTCACGACGCGAGTGCAAAACAATAACAATATTTGTATACAAATAACTGAGAAATGAGTGCGCAGTATGGCGGCACGCGCGCGCCCGGGAGCGTACAACAATAACATATCAATACGATGATTAGTCTCCAGGGCTCGATTACATGGTGCTTCAACGTACACCAACCTCCTGTACAATATTAACAATCATGGGGCTTTCTGTTGGTAACAGTGCCTGTCACAGAGGAGGGATCGTTAATAAAGAGGAGTTGTGGACCCATTGCTAGCACTGTACCCTTTTTTTTTTACAAGGGTAAATCCGTCATGGATATCCGCACGCCCCGGGGGAGGCCTGCGGATACTGCCGGACTCCCACCGGCTAAAACCATTTGGTGTCCTCCGAGCGTTTTGGTGCCGGAGTTACGGGATCGAAACATTCAACCGTGAACCCTGGCAGTGCAATGTACCCTACCAAGGCGAACTCCACATGATTTCCATGGAAAGCATTATGGTTCATTCCTGTGAATTTCGCCACGATGCTGACTAACATGGCTTTATGCTCGTCCTATCATTCTATACTATCCTGTACCTGTATCTGTATCATCCTATGAGGCACCCCTTATCACATTGTACCATTTATCATTCATTAAAATAAGGCCCACTAAAGATTTAAGTCGATAACAATCATAAGTACACCACACGTGCGATAAGTTTTTAAATTAAGTAATTATCTCTGTGACAATCTGATAAGAATTTTAAAATCTTGGGGTTATATTTAAATCTATACAGAACTTTTTAAATACATAACTTTTTATTGTTCTGAATTTATACATGTTTGTATAAATTTAGAACAATAAAAAAGTCAATAGAGATAAGTATAGTAAAAGTATATAGAAACCAGGAAAAACAAATAAATAATTCACTTAAGTATGTTCACGTGTATTTCAAGAAAGATTATTAAAAAAATATGTAAGTTAAGTATTTAGTGGTATAATCCAGTAATTATTACACCTAAATGTATAAATATACATATGAAACAATATACAACTAAATAAAATAGATTATTCATTACAAAGGATCTACATGTGTAAATAACTCTATGGACATGTTAATAGTTTACATTCGAATGGCGGTCGATAAGCCTATTGTTAAGGGTACAGTTGACAAATAAACTAATACATTAACTTCACACAATGTAACTATAATAGTTTGAATTTGGTGTAAAATGTCATGTATTGACGTAAGAACGAAAATTCTGGCTGTAGTTTACTAATTCTTAAACGAAATGACTCTTGACTTTTGAAACTAAAAACTCCATCCTGAGAAGATAAAAATAATCGCTCCAAAGAATATAAGATTCTATTCTTGCCCCTGAAGGGACATGAAAAGGAGCATAATAAAATAATATACGAGTGATTGTAAGCATCCTGTGTAATGCGCGGAAACTACAACTCGGCTGCGCCGAGTATAAAATTGCAACGCGTCCACTGCATTACTAGTAGCGGCGGATTGCTACAGAGGGCCGCACCACACCGACTGCTGTACTGCCACGTGATTACATACATCGACATGGAGGAGCTGAAAACAATCCTGGTCTATATGCTGCTATTATCTGCCTCTGTGCTAGGTGTGTACTTTACCTATCTACTCTTTTACATAAAGTATAATAATAGTCTAAAAATTAAATAGTATAATTAATTATAAAACCACTACATTATTAAGGTTCTGTTGTCAAATACTATATTTCTATAATCACAGATGTCGCCAAGACTAGGTTTAACAGCTGTTAAAGTAAAACAAAATGACTAAAATGTTTGACTTTCAGTAAGACTCTCTCTCTCTCTGCTTTTGATCCACTTTATATACTTATGAAGGACCTATTGTTCCGTCTTCCTAGCGGCACTCATCAATGAACAGTTTACTAACAAAGTAATATTGACATACAGGCAAACATAAAAAATCCAAGCCGAAGAAGTTCGTGTCGCCGACCACCAAGGGTATCCAGTGTTACAACTGCCTATCGTTCGACCACCCCGGATGCTGGGACCCGGACCATCCCGACTACGCTAACATTACGGTCCGTAACACCATACTTACATAGTTCTCTTTTTTTTTAATTACTAATTTATTGAAAGTATTGTGGCCAGAGATTGTGGGCTGCCATATGGTCGACACCAAAACGCCGGTTCGGGGGTGGAATACCAATACAAATTAAAATTATCGATTAATTTGACACAGGTGGCAGTAGCCCCAGCAATGTTACATTCAAAAATATCTAGCACAATTGGGATGTCTAATACTACGGTCGCGAAGATGTCGACAGTTGCACATTCCCCTAACTACCCGATCTGGGATAAGACACTCATTTTATTTTATACATTTACAATAAACTAATGATGTAACAAGTTGCGTATGGTGAAGCTGTCTCAGGAACAAATATGTGTGAATAAAGCTAGAGCTGTGAAGGCAAATTTCACCGTAAACCGAAACTAGCTAACATTAAAAAGACGGAGGATGAACATACGATTTCTTACCGTAAGTTCGGTCGGACACCACAAACAAAAGTACTTACTATGTGCATAATGTCAAACATACAGCTAACGATCATAAACACCTCATGTACACCTTCCATAAACTGTAGTCCAGTAACTTCTATATTATTTATCATACACGACAAACAAGAACAACATTCGCGTAAGTACGTATTTTTAAGACGTAACTAATCCAGCTATCGATTACAGGTGCCGAATATTGACTGCTACATACCCGGGATGGCATTCCTATGCATCGTCATCACATCCGAGTCGGCTAAGTTAGGTAAGTTGCAAACCGTCTCCAAGATTAATCAATAAATAATAAACATATTACATTGCGCCTCGGTAGTCTAGTACCAAACTATGCACACATAATTAATTATATTTCTATATTTTTTGGAGTAGATATATACATAACATTCTAACAGATATACTATTCAACATAAATGTTTGTATTGTGGGGAGATTCATAACACGCTATCATAGGAAGGTTAGTAGACAATCTGTTCAACTAGTATACCAACAAAGTCAAAAGAGGAATTTATTCGTTGAATTTTGTTAAGTTAAGATCATTGCGTTAAACCAAGTAGAACGTACGTAGACTAAAAGGGTGCAACACAAGACATTAGTAGCACTAAACTAATAGTGGAACGACGTATAGTTTGCCGTATAAATGCGGCAAATGTATAATTGCGTCGTATTGTTGTACAGTGGAGACCGGCCAGGAGATCGGGCCGGTGCGCGCGCGAACCTGCGTACCAGCCAAAGACTTCTCCAAGAAGACCGTGTCGTACTCCATGTGCAGTAAACTGAGCAAAGAGCTGTCAGCCTCCGAGATATTTTCGCGTATCGCCGTCAGTCGCCCTCAGTGCACGCTCTGCAAGAAGCACCTGTGCACCGATGCCTCGCACTGCTAGCCGCGCCCCCACTGGCTTTTACGTCAATTTGACTTAACAGGAGTTCAGAATCCGCTTTACACAATACCAAATAATATAATACATTTAGGATGTCCGGCCAATGAATATACAAGTCTGTTTATACTACGTTTTCAACGTCTCTTAAACACGGCTGTTTACTAGCCATTTTTTCTTAAATTTTACAATAATAATAAGAATTAATCTTATTATGATTAATTTAAAACGAATGTAGGAGTCTACAAGAACTATAAATATGCAAACACACTTAAACTGGCCCTGTTATGTTACAAAAGTTTACAGCGACCGAAAACGATAGAGTTATTATTAAAACGACCATAGATATACCAGCTCCGATTTCAATTTAGATTTCTTTTTATGATTTTCTGCTTGTACAGAACATAAAATAGATATGGATATAGGCAAAATTATATATTTAAATACGTGTAGGTAGCACTTCACTTCGTGGTAAAGTGCCGGTACCGAACACGGCCTGTCTATGGAGTTGGTATATTCATCGTTCATAAATCCTTTGTATGTAAGTACTCGCCAAAAGTGTAAACAAGTCATTAAAGTCGTTACGTTGAGTCGGCGCATAGTAGTCGCGGTCTATTATGGCTCTTTTTGGGCTGAGGCTCGATTTATGTAATCATCTTGCTTATAATGCAATAACGTGCACCTGCACTCACTCATTGTTACTATTGTTTTTTTATTTCAAATATTATTATTTTTATATTAAATAAACTTTTAAGATTTAATGCGTTATTATTTAAGATGCGTTTCGATTTCCGTTAAATATACCAAAATATTATTGATAATTAAGCTATTTAATCACACGTTTGAGACATTCTTATACTACTATAGTAGCAAAAAAGCGTACAGCTCATTTGCCCAAAATGGTTACCATAGCCTATAGACGCCATAGACACCAGTGGTGTCACGTGCACGTTCCTGACCCTTAAGTAACTTTAACATACCCTTCTTAAACAACCCCATACTTTAGTCTCGTGAGAAAGTCTTGGCAAAAACTACTAAATCAAATTAACTATATGCAACGGGACAACTGAAAGATAAAACACTAGCTGTGCCTGCCGTTTCACCTGCGTTAAATGTCAATATAAAATATAACCTGATACATAACCTATATTACTGTAAAGTTTCATCAAAGAATAACAAACATCCAGACTTACAAACTTTCGCATTTATTATATTATTAAGATATATACATTTCGGTCAGCAAAGGTTACCTTCTCGAGCATGTGGTAGACGTCTGCGAGGTCAACGCCGGGGTAGGGCGACATGCCGTAGGTGGCGATCTCCCACAGCAGTATGCCGAAGGCCCACACGTCGGACTTGGTGCTGAAGGTGTTGTATGCGAGGCCCTCGGGCGCGGTCCACTTTATGGGGAACTTGGCTCCTGCGTGCGCCGTGTACGTGTCGTCGCGCATCAGCCGCGCCAGACCGAAGTCCGCCACCTTCACCAGGTGGCTTTCGCCCACTAGGCAGTTGCGAGCCGCCAAGTCCCTGAATACGTCCCACGTTATTAGTCAACCTCCTTTGTTATTCAACAGTTTTTGTTTTTTTATTTTGGACAATTCACATAAGTCATCTAATACCAATCAACCAAGCAGGGTTGTGTTATGGATACTAGACATCTAATATATACATTTTTAAATACATACATAATGTACATAGGAAATATCCAGACCCAGTACAATCATACTTATGAATACAATTATTTGTAACGTGCGAGAATCGACGACGAGAAGGAGGTTTTGTAAACCACTAAGACCACTGAAGGGTAGCCTTATCCACCCAGTAAAATTACAGGAAGAAGATCACAGACATGAAGATCTTAGTACTCTGGATATAAATCGTCAATATTTTTGCAATAACTGTGATGATATTCTTGTATAAAGGGTCTGTCAAAAAAATGTAGCCTCGAGACATACTACACACTGCCTGAAACTAAACAGTGGTTATATTTACTACAATGGGTACCAGAAAATAAGTTTATAGCATGGTGGTACTTTGGGTAGTAAACAACTGATAGGAAGAAATACTTAAATGTGTACATTTTGTAAATATTATAAAAAGAAAACATGGATGGTTCCCTTTTATAATATCGAAAAATAAACTTAATTATGAATATAACTATCGTGTATTCATGATTAAGTTTATTTGTATCGATCTGGTATCGTGCGAGAAATCGAACCTGTGACCATCAAGACCAGAAGCAAGATGGCGTAATAGACCACCAGAGTCATCAAGCTAATTTTAGAGGCCCGGGTGGAAATCGGTTAGGGCAGTATGGTATGAGTGATCCTTCAATTTTTGTCTCTGATGGGTCCATGTAGTAACTTTGAAAAAGGGCGAGTACAATAGATCTATGCAAGTCGCAGTGTTATAGGTGCTAAGAGCTCAAAACTAATAAAAATATTAGTACGAGTGACCGCAGCGCCGGCAGGATGTATCCTTATACACAGTACCTGTGAATGAAGGAACGGCTCTCCAGGTAGCTCATGCCGGAGGCGATCTGTGTAGCCATGTACATGAGCACGACAGCATCTGGCGCTGGTTCCCGCGCCGCCCGCAGATATTCCAGCAGGTTCCCGCGGGACATGAACTCCGTGATGATATAGAAGGGAGGCTCGCGCGTGCACACGCCCAGCAGCTGCACCAGGTTGCGGTGCCGCATCTCCTTCATGATCGCCGCTTCCTCCAGGAAGTCCTTCAGCGCCATCGTGTCATCCTTCAACGTCTTCACCGCCACCTGCGAACGTTTGCATAATGCACGATAATTTTCTACACGCACGCTCTGACACGCCCGAAAGCTTCAAGCCCAAAAGCTTCTGTCTTTTGAATAAATCATAAATCCTCATAAGCTATTCTGGATAGCTCATTGTAGAAGTTGATAAAATAATTTATACTCCGTTTCATTTTATCATGGAGACTAAAAAAATATCCCTGGACAATTTATGCAACACTATATAGTCCAAAGCCTTATGATATTGCTATTAGACAACTGATATAAATACGAAGATATTTTCTTTTGTAAATACATTCACAATATACATAAAAATAAATACCCATACCTATGTAAACACGATATAAGACTAGAGTCTATAATTTCGCAACTTCAATAATATATAGTGTTAATCAAGGTTTTACGACTTCGATTTTCTTTAGGGTTTGCGACTTCGTACTGATAGGTGTGGTGATACATACGGTGATGTTGCATCTCTTCCACGTGGCCTCGTAGACGTCGCCGTACTGGCCGCCGCCCAGCTTGTGCTTCATGACGATGTCGGTGCGGTCGATCTCCCACTCGTCGGGTGGCGCCAGCGGGAACACGGTGGGCTTGTTCCGCTTGGGCGCCGGGTACAGTAGCTGCGTGATCAGCCCGTCACCCAGCACCGAGTGGTGATGCACCAGCTCCGCCAGCGTGCCGAACTTTGACTCCGACGTCACGTACACCTGCAAGTGGCAGATACGTTAGTTTCCGGAATAGCAGAGAGTGGTTTTCAAATGCATGCAATAACTCCAATTTACCAAAAACGGGGCCTCGTGGAGATCGACCTGATATGTTACAACATTAGCAATGAATTTCGTTTTCCATTCATTACTAAAAATACCTTTCGCCCCGACAACATAAGTAGTATCGCGGGCGTGATACGATAACGTGATTTGTTTGTAGTTAAGTTCATGTATACAGCCGACAATAATCTTTTGCTAAAACTTGAGCCCTCAGCTTGTTTGTTGTTTGATTTTTCTGATTACATAAAGTAATGTTTGGGAACACAACTAAATTCTATGACGTCACGACACACACATGATTTGTGTGTACATAGTGAAAACGTACCTTCCCGTCGGAATCCTCGTTGATGCGGTAGTGGTACACGCGACCCTCAAACCTAAGGGAAATGCTCCTTTGACCAGGACTGGACTCGGATTCGCGGACCTGCACAAAAAAGAAACAACAATGTAAAGAATGTACATCAAACTGATTGTTCACTCTATTTACATCTTCCACGTTAAAAGAATCAGATTCAAATCGTAAATATCGATATTATTATATACTCACTAAAACACGTATATATATAATTTATTCATTATATTTGATTCGAAAGGTATTAATCTGAATCTTCATTGTTAAACAACATGAAAAAAGGAACTATTATGTTGTCTAAGTATTTTTTTATATTTTGTTTTTCAACAATAGATATCTGATTATTTCTGTATTTATACAATAGCATTATATACAAATATATTTTATTTAAGTTTTCATAAGTAAGTAAGGCGACTATTACTTAAAGAAGACTTCAAATCATATATAATAATACATATCTAAGGACATTGCACACAGCGCCTTCTAGTCCCAAGCTAAGTTAAATTTCATAATATACATAAACAGATACAAACAATCATACTCATGAATGTTCACTTTAGAATAATATTTTTATGAAGCTACTATAGACAGTGATTTAGAAAACAGCTCTAAACAAATTTTGTTACGTGCCATGTTTTCCAAATTAATAAGTCCTAGTAGAGTATAATTAAAGTTGCTGTTTTAAAGACTATTTATTAAAAAACAAGGTCAAGCTAAATTCATTGACCGTACCATTTAGCGAAATCAGCGAATATATGTATAGTAATGAAGGTCGCGCAATAATCTTAGTAAGCATATAAACTATGTCGATGAGGCAGCTGATAATATGACATGTAGTTAAGTTGTATACATAATGATATATTTCCGATAGTGGATTTAGGTGCTATATATCGGGATTAAAATACATAAATAATTACATCCCTTTTTTATTTCTTATTATTGGATTGTTATGAATATGGTCAGGGACCTGTAGCATTACATAGATACATAGATCTATTGTAGTGTCCCTTTTCAAAATTCGCTACCTAGACCCGTCAGCGACAGGAATTGAAGGATATTCTTAGGAACGATGGTTTTTATCTCCTCAGGAAAAAGTGTAAACTTTCAAAAGGAGTTATTTATTTATGCATGAGTGAGCTACAAACATATAGGATGTGTAGTGGAGTAGCGTAATTACATCCATTAACTAAAGGTTTGTGACGTGTTACTTTAAAGGCAATGTTAGAACAAAAGCAGACTGAGGTTATTTACAACATATGACAAATGTTGTTTTTTTTTTAAACACCGAGACTAATACCAACACCCATGAATACAAATGTATGAATATAAAGGATGAGACAGCCAAGTAGATAGTACCAGGGTGTAGTCTCATTACTTTGGAGTTATGTGTAAAATTATGAAATAGATAATTACACATATTTGATTTGTTTTAATGGATGATAATGAAATGGTTGCTATCGGTATACGCTGGTGGAGTACCAGTGAAGGATGATAAGATGAGCATGAAGTTAGGCCAGCTAACCCATATGACAAATTCATCAGGAATTAACCATGTCTCTCAACGTAACTCTATCAAACGATTAAGATAAAGAACACCTTGGAGTTTTTAGCCGGTAAGAGGTCTGCTTGCCCAGGGCCGGGAGAGGAACCCACTCCATACGGATTTACCCAAGTAAAAAAATGTGAATTAGTAGGCTAGTTAATTATAAGGTACGGTACCAGAAAGCTGCCGTTGATCCCAGAGGAGAGTAGGTACTCGGCGGCGTTCCGTGAGATGGGCCCGTGGTACCACGAGTGCTTCTCCAGCGAGTTGACCGGTGTGACGTAGTTGCTCGGCACCCAACCCACTCCTCCGCCCAGTGTGTGTGCCTCGCACCACTCGCCGCTTTTGTTGTAGCTCATAATCCGCACCTGCTCACCTGTAATAACCACCGCCATATATTACCAACTAATAATTTAACTCTATTGTGCAGAGAAAAATATTGACAAAATAAACTTATAATTAACTTAACCTAACAAACTTATAATTAAAAATATAAATGTAAAAAAAAAGGCGGTCTTATAGCTTATTGCAATCTCTTGCAGACCACCTGAGAGAATGAAGCTTTCAGTAAAGTATACATAAATAAAATATATAACTTAACTTAATATTAATTAACTTTAAGAAGTAGGATAACAGGAATACCAAACAAACCGACGCCTCTTCTGAGAGAAAAGAGGAACCGTCGTTATATACATGACCAGCATAATAGACATAGAATTTATGTACTTTTTTTATGTAGTGCATTCCATAACATTTACAGTAACAAGTTCAAATTTAGAAGATCAATTGTGAACTCTGTTGGGCACTACAAGCAGAAGAGAGAATAGCAGTACGAGTCCATAGTTTTAAAATTAGAAATATATGTAAAAAATATATCGAATATTATTTGAACTACTGGTCGGAATTGAGTTCCGACCATAGACCATAATTAATTTAAATCATAAGTTTGAACACTATTAAAGTTCTATTGTTAAAGTTTATATACTTCAATTGTGTGTCAAATATATTGTAGTACATGTAATGTGTGTCTTAAAGAAATTGTACAATATTTAATTATGTATGTAATTTATATATTCAGTAACGTTTTATATTTAACAATATCCTGAGACCGTCGTGTGAACCCCAGAATAAACGCCGCGTTTTGGCATTTCCGAGGTATAAGGATCTAGGCTATAGCCCGACATTTATATATTCTGAAACATTTTATAATTCAATCTAGATGTGTGAAGCCCAGGGCAAATCTCGCATTTTATCAATCCTAAGGAATATGAATCTAGGCTATGTATCCCTGTAATTTTCAGTCACCCGCAACAATGGCTAAGACAGGGGTCGAGTACTGCAGTCGGTTCTAGAATACAAAGTCCGCCTCGGTAATTTATTACTTTATGTGCAATAAGAATAGCAATGAAACATCCGGACCGCTGCGGCTCGCGGCCGTCTTCAATATCAGATGCAACGACAAATCACACCGTGATGCCGACAAAATTATTAGCGGCATACAAATCTACACGAATAATACTTTGTATGCACTATTTTATTAGTACGCTGAATCTAAACTAGTATATGTTAATTGTGAGGACATGTTGACGTTTCAAGTATGTAGATATCGTTAGAATATGTGTATATATATGTATTATATATTATTACATATTTTCTTTTTATATGTATACTAATACAGTATATTGCGTACTTTGCAAAGAGAAATAAATTCTATTAATAATAATAATCTCTCAGGACAATTCACACAACGCCATCAAACCCAAGTTAAGATAGCAATAGATTGTGTTATGGGTAGATATATATATATATATATATATAACTGATACAAATACATAGATAAATTTATTTTCATAAAAAAAATACATATTATACATAAAAAACACCCAGACCGATATAAACAATCATAATCATGAATATAAATGTATGTGCCGTGTGAGCAATCGAACCCGCGACCATCGGAAGTAGGGCGGTGTGCTAAACCACTAGTCCACCGAGGCTATCGAGTACATTATATTATTATTTCATATATGTTTGTGTTAGTATATTTATTTATGTAATGTCTGCAGTGCGCCACCAACTTCTTACTCTATTCGTGGCCACTATCTTTCAGATTGTCCGCAGCAGATGGTTTTTACCGGTACCTTATCGCCGCCTCTATTGAAGTGCATTCTTATTATTCTTTTCATAGTTTTTTAGTGCGTCGTTACATTATCTACTGTTGCGGGTAAATAATAAGATGTTGCTGGTCGAGACGATGTATATTACAGATGATGATAAACTGACAATATGTACATAGAAATAATGATCTTATATACTAAATAAAAATAGGAAAATGTAAGGTGGGGTGACACAGTTTAGATACAGCAGTGCCTAGTAGACAATATTGAATTTGTCTTACTAGACATTATTAAATGCAATTATTATTTTATTTATCTAGGTGACTGTGTCCCATATCTACTAATATTATAATTAATATACTTACAGGAGAGGGACAATTTACAGGGTAAAAGAGAATATAAATTAATTAGCACATCATAGCACAATACAACAATGAAGATGAAAATACAATGAATTACATTACTATAGATAATAACATAAAAGATAGAAAGAACACAATAGCAAATTAAGTAATGTACAATATACATACTATGAATAATAATGTACCATGTACTTGATTGTTTGTTGCAGTGGATATACATTGAAAAAGCAGCTATGCCCTCTGAGAATCGTTATATAATACATACATACATTGAAACAGCAAGTAGACTGAGTCTGTATATATTACCTTTCTTGAGACTGAGCTGGTTCTCGCCCCCTGCCTGGAAGTCATACAGCGCCACAAATAGCTGCGGGTCCTCGTCTTCATGGTGAGCCAGTAGGTTCTCCTTCGACGTCCATCTGAAAGATACCGCACAGCATATCATCAGAAATCATTTTGTATCATCAGTAGCCAGATCAAACTCGTATATAATACACAAGCCTATTTAATCTAATCACAATAGTAATATTCTCTTTGCCTTTACATGGGACCTGGCGAAAATAACTATAATAACAACTCCCGAATATGTCGCATAGTTTTAGTGAAATCTGGCTGCAAATGAGGTTGTAAAACGGTACGGTTGATATTCACAACAGTGAGATGCCGATGTCATGGCCATAATATTTGCACTTATATGTATATAGACACATATAGCTTGTTGTATGAAAATTTCCATTATAGTCTCTGGAGAGCACTCGGTAGGTAGTTAATTTCCCCATCCAAATGGACGCGGGAGATAGCTCCTTTGAAACCGCTCTGTCCGAGATCGCTTTGACGAACGGTGCGATGGTAAAGCCGTGGGCACCAAATCGAATAATTCATCGAAACAGCCCTTTGTATATTCTGTAGAACACACAAAGCGATGTGAAGTCTCGCCTCAAGCTAATTAGTTCGATGTCGCCTGACAGATCGGGATCATCGACAATGCTCGTAGCATGACTTTGTACCCAGTCAGAAGTAATTTAATTGGGATGTTAATGTTTTGTTCCAAAACGTGAACTCTTTGAACTGAGTCAAAACTAATTTCTTTGAGATATGTTTTGGTTTGCTCTAAAATTGAACAGGTTATTAACGTTCTCTGAACGTCGGAGAATGAGGTAGGTGCTGGTGGTGCTTACCTGTTGGCGGTGTCGAGCGGCTGCGGCGTGCTGGGCGCGGCGGCGGCGGCTGCGGCTGCACCCTCGCCATCTGGCAGGTCAGGGATGTGCGGCAACGGCCGGCTCTGCAGCAACGCCTCTGTACAAACAAACAAAGAACTCTTGTCACCCAAACGAACATATCGGTACGTATGCTAATACAGAAGTTGCCAGTTAACTAAACTTGACGACAATCGTTTGACTATTTCACTATCGTTTGTTTATCGTTGAAGTTTTGTCTATATGTACTAATATAAATATGTATACACGCATACCTTTTTATAAAAGGTAAAGTTTGCGTGGTTATACTGTACCGATTTTAAAAATTCTATTACTATTAGAAGGCTACATTATTTGCGAGTGTCATAGGTAATATAATAACACGAAAAATTAAACAAAATTGTGACAGTCGATCGATGAGAAAAACGGTCGATCGAAAACGTTTCTTACGAACGCTACCTTAAAAATGAGAGATTTATGATTGAAAAAAGTATGAGCTTCATAATGCTTACAAAAAAGTTAGCGATACCATATGTCACACTCGTATATTTAGGTCAAATAGAAATAGTTATTTAACCCGAACAAATTATTATAATAATAAGTAAATTTATCGTCTCAATTTATTAAAACAAAAGTCTCTCTCGTATACTGCATATAATTTAGACGAATGGTTAAATGGTTTAGACGAATGGTTAAACCCATTGGTTAGTGGTAGAAAACCATTGGTGGTATTTTTTTTTGTGGATGATAATGAAATAGTGCTCCCGCCTACGCTAACGGTTTACGCTGGCGGGACACCAGTGGAGGATGATGAGGTCAAGTCAGAACCATGGTGGTTAATTCCTAGTTGTTTAATCACCGGCCTAACCTCATTCTCATCCTATCATATTACACTGGTGCCCCGCCAGCGTATACCGTTAGCCCAAGCGGGTGTGCCATTATTTTATATATTTTAGGACGATTAACAGCTTAATTTTAGATGTTACTAATGACATTAAATTGTCCTATGATAATGGATAATCTTCATAAATAGTACGCCATATCATTATTAATCATTAAACACTAATTTTAATGTTAGGAAATAATAGCACTCAGTACTAACCGAATCATACTCATAATTTTGTCACAACTAAAAATATTTACCGCCCAATGAAGTTGTAGTTTTCATATATTTCTTTTCGTACCTAAGATATAAACATGTAGGACGTTCTACGAGTTGTATTGTAACATTTACATACCTATGTAATAATTAAATGACACTAAACAACAATGTAAATCTTATTACTTGTATTGTTAACTGTGTTTCAAATATTATATATAGTTAATTGATTTATATTAATTTTACAATTATTCACAAATTTAGTGTCATTACCTGCACACACTATAAATTAACTTGCGTACTATTTATAAAAATATAGACAACTATATTGTGAGCCACTACATAAAACCGACTAAAGAATGTGCCAAAATTAGGACTGGACCAAAGCGATAGTAAACGCAATTCCATCGATTGCAAATTTAATTATCAAACTCGAAAGTATTTTTCATACTTGCGATGGTCGTAGGTTCAATTCCTTGTACGGTTACAAATATTTGTATTCATAAGTATGATTGGTATCGGTCTGTGTGTTTTCTATAAAGTATCTATGTATTTATATCTGAGGACTAGTACTCATAACACATGCTAACACAAACATCTAGTCCTAAGTTCTACAACTTGGGACTAGATAGCGCTGTGTGAATTGCCCAAGGATATTATATAGTGTCTTAGCCACTGTAAGTTTTACTATCTTACTTCCCAACACTACAGTTCTAGTTCAGTATTAGTTGAGAAAAACTAAGAAATACAACTATTATTTTTTAGTTAAATAGTACTAATACTACTAATATAAAACGTTCTAGTTTTAAAAGATTTATTTAAACAAGACCGTCAAAGTTACGCTGATAAATAGTGGGATTTTTTCACTTAAATATATTAAGATTACTCTAATTGGATGTCGAAATAACAATTTCTCATTTTGCTAAATGATTTAATATCAAAATAAGAAGTTTTATCAGTTTTGGTATTTAATGAAGTAGATAAACTTTGTCCTTTAGTTAAATTTGTACGTTTGCATTGGTACAAACAGACAAATTGGATTGAATCCGCCATCGCAAGATCGCATATCTCGCATATCTAACTAACTGCATTCAGTGTTAATTAGAAACTAAGACTGAATTCAAGTTGACATTTCAATTTGAACTACGACTAATAAATAGTTAGTGATAGAGGAATGTTAAATAAAAACTATTAAACTACAGATAGTTTAAAACATACTTTTAGGACCGTGTCAAGACGATGTAAGAGATACAAACATGTCTCATCGTTCACAGGGGCTATTATATAGCATCATATAAGTAATAAAGACTGACAAATTGCTTGGTGTGTATACTTTGGAGTGGGTTATGAACCGCCAGATCGACGCGTGGACGCGTCGGTGCCGTGACACACGATACGAATGATGAGTCGCGGCCTCCCAGCCCCGAGCGCTGTCCATCATTTTCATTAAACATATTGTATGCTAATATACCGAGGAGCGTCACCGTCTGCCACAATGGATGTGTTCAGTGAATACACTGATACAAACAAGGATTGTGTACAATTTTGGAGCGCTACACATACGGTGCGTGAATCACGGGCACCGTGCCACCGGGCCACCACGCCGAGCGCGGCTTGCGCGGCGGGAGAGCCACTACGTAGGCACATGACAAGCGTACCGAATGCGGAATAAACCACATTAATATTATACATACCTATACACTCGCGTTTTATATTTATACAATGATTAATCTAATATATAAAATTCTCGTGTCACAGGTCTCCTAAACGGCGTGACCGATTTTGATGAAATTTTTTATGTACATTTAGTAGAGTAAAAATTAATGAAAATAGTTAGATGTTTTAACAGACGTCTTTTATTGCAGAGTGCAGTAACAGAAGTATAATAAAATAAAAATTATATAAAGAACATCATATTTTGAATATGGATAAAAGAATTAAAAACTGCCAGTGACTCTCATTGTAGGTCTAACACTCCCCCGCAATGAGAACACTCTGTAGAAGTAAACTGATATCAAAACTTAAAACTGTACACAATAAAACTAAACACTATACACTAAAGCCTGACATCAATACTATATACATAGATCACTAACAAATTCCTATATACAATACCTAACCTAAGACAATATACAAATAGCTAACCTAAACCTAATGAATGGGTACATTTACAGTGTTTTAGTTTCATTAAAGGTTTCGTTAAAATGTCAGCGATCATGTCAGTAGTAGGTATGTATTTGAGAATGAGATTATGAGATGTTAGTGAATCTCGAATGAAGTGGTGTTTAATGTCTATATGCTTTGTGCGTGCATGATACGTGTTGTTGTGTGCTAGTTTTATCGAGCTTTGATTATCAGTATGAATGACGATTGGATGAGTGACGGCGAATATTTCACTGATGAGGGTTTTGAGGTAAATTGCCTCTTTGCAAGCTTCTGCTAAAGCCATATACTCGGCTTCAGTAGTAGAAAGCGCGACTGTGCGCTGCTTGCGTGCTTCCCATGATATAGGGGCTCCGCTCATCATGTAGACAAATCCTGTAAAAGAGCGTCTGTCTACAAGATTGTTGCCGTAATCCGCGTCTACGTAACCTGTAGGGAATGTTTGGTCGTTACGTTTATATCGAAGTTGTTCGTCTTTCGTGCCTTTGAGATACCTAAGAACACGTTTAGCTGCTTTCCAGTGTACTCCCCCGTAATGTGCATTGAATTGGGATAGGTACGAGACTGTGTGTGAAATGTCGGGTCTAGTACCAATAGCAATGTACATTAAAGAGCCGATGAGTTCTTGGTACGGAACTTCAATATTTTCGTCTCCTGTTTCAGGTGTTAACAATTTTAGGCCTGGTTCCAATGGTGTTGTAGATGTAAGAGCGTCATTCATATTGAATTTTTGTATGAGTTTCTCGATGTATTTCGTTTGATCGAGAGTGATAACGCCGGAACTTTGTATTACTCTCATACTTAGACAGTCCTTGAGTGGACCAAGATCTTTTATGGTGAACTGCTGTTTCAGTTGGTTTTTAAATTCGTTTTTCATCCTGTCATTTGTACATAGAATAAAAAAGTCATCAACAAATACAGCGACCACAAGGAAATCATTATCCTCTCGTTTGTAATATATACAGTGTTCGTTGACTGTTTGCGTAAGGGAGAGATTTTTCATTGCTTCAGAAACTTTTATGTTCCATTGGCGTGGCGCTTGTTTAAGTCCATAAAGGGATTTTTTTAATAAACAAACTTTCTCCTTTTCTTTTGAAAAGCCTTCTGGTTGTTCCATATATATTTCCTCTTCGAGATCTCCATTCAAAAAAGCAGTTTCCACATCTAGGTGGTCTAAAATAAGATCGTGTTGTACAGCAAATGCCAGTAATAGTCGTATTGACGACAATCTAGCGACTGGTGAGAAGGTTTCACCGTAGTCTACTCCTGCTACTTGAGTAAATCCTTTCGCTACTAGTCTGGCCTTATATTTGACTATTTGGCCACTTGTATCCTTTTTTAGTTTGAAGACCCATTTGCATTTAGTTGTCTTTCTGTCTGTCGGTCTGTCAACTAAAATCCATGTTCCGTGATTACTTAGTGAATTATATTCAGCATTCATAGCTTCTAGCCATTTTTCTTTTTGTGGATGATCTAATACTTCTTTGTAGGTCTCTGGTTCTGAATCTGAAGTGAGGTATATGGTATTATGATATCTCTCAGGGGGATGTCTGTCTCTACGAGGATATCTCCTTTCGGAAGACTGTTCCATTGAGATTTCAGATTCGACAGATACTTCTGGAGTTTTAAATTCTTCAGTGGCTGTTGGCTGTGCAGAGGTGAAAGGTTCAGGTTCTGTATGAGGATGTTCACAGACTGGACTTTCCTGTTCTACTGTAGGCTGAATATGCTGAACCGGATTATAAGGTACAAGCATATCTGGCTGCTGAGATGAGGATGGAACTTGGTCATTGTCAGAATGTTGATAAAATTTATCCTCGACAAAGATAACATCTCTA